CCAATGGACAGGTCAATCAGACAGAAACCTAACAGAGAAATTAGAGAATTAATGGAGGTAATGAAGCAAATGGATTTAACAGACATCTATAGATTATTCCACCCAAAGAGGAAAGAATATACCTTCTTATCTGCAGGTCATGGAACCTTCTCGAAAATTGACCACATACTCGGTAACAAAGCTAACTTACACAGTTACAAAAAAATATTAGTAACCACCTGTGTCTTATCAGATCACCATGGATTAAAGTTAGAATTCAACAACAATGCTACCCCCAGAAAGCCTACAAACTCATGGAAACTGAACAGTCAACTACTGAACCATACCTGGATTAAGGAAGAAATAAAGAAAGAAATTAAAGTCTTCCTTGAATTCAATGAAAATAAAGAAACAACATACTCGAACTTATGGTACACTATGAAAGCAGTCCTAAGAGGAAGGTTCATAGCACTAAGTGCCCACTTAAAGAAAACAGAGAAAGCACATATTGGAGACTTAACAGCCCACCTGAAAGCTCTAGAAAAAAAAGAAGCAGACTCACCTAGGAGGAGTAGAAGACTGGAAATAATCAAATTGAGGGCTGAAATCAACAAAATAGAAACACAGAAAACAATCCAAAGAATCAATAAAACAAAAAGCTGGTTCCTGGAGAAAATCAACAAGATTGATTAACACCTATCCAAACTAATCAAATGGCAGAGAGAGAATACGCAAATTAATAAGATCAGAAATGAAAAGGGGGACATAACCACAGACACAGAGGAAATTCAGAGAATTATTAGATCTTAGTACAAAAGCCTATATACCACAAAACTGGAAAATGTAAAAGAAATGGGCACTTTTTGAGATAAATAAAATATACCAAAGTTAAATCAGGACCAGGTGAACAATCTAAACAGATCTGTTAGTCGTGAAGAATTAGAAGTCGTTATAAAAAACCTCCCTACCAAAAAAAGCCCAGGACCAGATGGTTTCAATGCGGAATTCTACCAGAACTTTCAAGAAGAGCTAATACCTATACTCCTTAATGTATTCCACAATATAGAAACAGAAGGGTCATTAACAAATTCCTTTTATGAAGCTACAGTTACTCTGATACCAAAACCACAAAAGACTCAACCAAGAAAGAGAATTACAAGCCAATTTCACTCATGAACATCGACGCAAAAATCCTCAACAAAATACTGGCAAACTGTATCCAAGAACACATTAGGAAAATTATCCATTATGATCAAGTAGGCCTCATCCCAGAGATGCAGGGCTGGTTCAACATACGAAAATCTATCAATGTAATCCTTCATATAAATAAACTGAAAGAAAAAAAACCAGATGATCATTTCATTAGGTGCTGAAAAAGCATTTAACAAAATTCAACATCCCTTTATGATAAAAGTCTTGGAGCGATTAGGGATACAAGGGTCATACCTAAATATAATAAAAGTTATATACAGCAAGCCAACAGCTAACATCAAATTAAACACAGAGAAACTCAAAGCCATCCCGCGAAACTCAGGAACACGACAAGGCTGTCCATTCTCGCCATACCTCTTCAATATAGTGCTTGCAGTTCTAGCAATAGCAATAAGACAACATAATGGGATCAAGGGGATTCGAATTGGAAAGGAAGAAGTAAAACTTTCGTTATTTGCAGATGATATGATAGTGTACATAAGCGACCCCCAAAACTCCACCAAAGAACTTTTACAGCTGATAAATAGCTTTAGTAATATGGCAGGATACAAGGTCAACTCCAAGAAATCAGTCGCCCTCTTATACACAAAGGATATGAAAGCAGAGAGAGAAATCAGAGAAGCTTCACCTTTCACGATAGACAGAAACAGCATAAAATATCTTGGGGTAACTCTAACCAAGGAAGTGAAAGATCTACATGACAAGAACTATAAGGCATTGAAGAAAGAAATTGAAAAGGATACCAGAAAATGGAAGGACCTTCCTTGCTCTTGGATTGGGAGGATCAACCTAGTAAAATTGGCAATTGTACCAAAGGCAATTTATAGATTCAATGCAATCCCCATCAAGCTCCCATCAAAATTCTTCACAGATCTGGAGAGGACAATAATCAACTTTATATGGAAAAACAAAAAACCCAGGATAGCCAAAACAATCCTATACAATAAAGGATCTTCTGGAGGCATTACCATCCCTGACTTCAAACTCTTATTACAGAGCTACAGTAATGAAAACAGTGTGGTACTGGCATAAAAACAGAGAAGTTGACCAATGGAATCGTATAGAAGACCTGGATTTTAACCCACAAACCTATGAACACCCCCTTTTCGATAAAGGAACTAAAAGTATACAATGGAAGAAAGAAAGCATCTTCAACAAATGGTGCTGGCACAACTGGATGTCAAGCTGTAGAAGAATGAAAATAGACCCATATCTATCACCATGCACTAAACTCAAGTCCAAATGGATCAAAGACCTCAATATCAGGCTGAACACACTGAACCTGATAGAAGAGAAAGTGGGAAGTACCCTACGACAGATGGGCACAGGAGATCGCTTCCTATGTATATCCCCAGCAGCACAGACATTAAGGGCAACATTGAATAAATGGGACCTACTAACACTGAGAAGCTTCTGTAAAGCAAAGGACACTGTCACTAAGACAAAAAGGCAACCTACTGACTGGGAGAAGATCTTCACCAACCCTGCAACAGACAAAGGTCTAATCTCCAAAATATATAGAGAACTCAAGAAACTCGACTCTAAAATGCTAATTAACCCAATTAAAAAATGGGGCACTGAACTGAACAGAGAATTCTCTACAGAAGAATTTCAAATGGCCAAAAGACACTTAAGGTCATGCTCAACCTCCTTAGCAATCAGGGAAATGTAAATCAAAACAACTTTGAGATATCATCTTACACCTGTCAGAATGGCTAAAGTCAAAAAACACCAATGATAGCCTTTGCTGGAGAGGCTGTGGAGGAAGGGGTACCCTCATCCATTGCTGGAGGGAATGCAATCTTGTGCAACCACTTTGGAAATCAGTGTTTCGGTTTCTCAGGAAATTCGGGATCAACCTACCCCTGGACCCAGCAATACCACTCTTGGGAATATACCCAAGAGATGCCCTATCATATGACAAAAGCATTTGTTCAACTATGTTCACAGCAGTATTATTTGTAATAGCCAGAACCTGGAAACAACCTAGATGCCCTTCAATGGAAGAATGGATGAAGAAAGTGTGGAATATATACACATTAGAGTACTACGCTGCGGTAAAAACAATGACTTCTCAAATTTTGCATGTAAATGGATGGAAATAGAAAACACTATTCTGAGTGAGGTAACCCAGACCCAAAAAGATGAATATGGGATGTACTCACTCATAATTGGTTTCTAGCCATATATAAGGGTCACGGAGACTACAATTGGTTAACCTAAAGAAGCTAAATAAGAAGGTGAACCCAAGGAAAAACATATAGTTATCCTCTTGCCTATGGGAAGTAGACAAAATTGCCGGAGAGAAAATTGGGATCTTGGGGGTGGGGTGGGATGGGGGTAAGGGGAGATGGGGAGAGAAAAGTGAGAAGGGAAGGAGGGGGGAACTTGGGGAAACAGGAGGATTGGGACAAAGGAAGGTTGGACAGGGGAGCACAGAAGCACAATTCTTAGTTAAGGGAGCCACCTTAGGGTTGGCAAGAGACTTGACCCTAGAGTGGCTCCCAGGAGCCCATGGTGATGTCTCCAGTTAGTCTCTTGGGCAGCTGAGGATAGGGAACCTGAAATGACCCTATCCTATAGCAATACTGACGAATATCTTGCATATCACCATAGAACCTTCATATAGTGATGGATGGAGATAGAGACAGAGACCCACACTGGAGCACTGGATTGAGCTCCCAAGGTCCCAATGAGGAGCGGAAGGAGGGAGAAGATGAGCAAGGAAGTCAGGACCACGAGGGGTGCACCCACCCACTGAGACAATGGGGCTGATCTATTGGGAGCTCACCAAGGCCAGCTGGACTGTGACTGAAAAAGCATGGGATAAAATCGGACTCTCTGAACATGGCGAACAATGAGGACTGATGAGAAGCCAAGGACAATGGCACAGGGTTTTGACCCTACTTCATGTTCTGGCTTTGTGGGAGCCTAGCCAGTTTGGATGTTCACCTTTCTAGACATGGTCGGAGGGGGGTGGACCTTGGACTTTCCACAGGGCAGGGAACCCTGACTGCTCTTTGGACTGGATAGGGAGGGGGAAAGGAGTTTGGGGGAGGGGGAGAAGGGTGGGAGGAGGGGGAGGGAACTGGGAGGCTGGGAGGAGGTGGATACTTTTTTTTCCTTTTCTCAATATAAAAAAAAAATATCTAAATAACCCAATTTAAAAATGGGGTACCGAACTGAACAGAGAATTCCCAACAGAAGAATTTCAAATGGCCAAAAGTTATTTAAGGACATGTTCAACTTCCTTAGCTATCAGGGAAATGCAAATCAAAACAGATTTGAGATACCACCTTAAACCTTTCAGGATGGCTAAAATCAAAAATACCAATGATAGCCTATTCTGGAGAGGATGTCGAGTAAGGGGACACTCATCCATTGTTGGTGGGAATGCAAACTTGTACAACCATTATTAGAATATCCCACTCTTTCAACTTCATGGCTTTGTGATGGTAGATTTTCGTCCTGTCCTCAGCCACAGCCAATCATAACTGTGTGAATTCAAGAACAACTCTAAGACTCTACCTGTCGCTCATGTAGCCCAACATTACCAAGGCCTACAGGAACATAGATTGATACCAATCTTCTATTTTTTTTTTGTTCAGTAATACTTTGTAGTTGTCGTTTTTTGCTTTTTGTTTTTCCAGAAAGAGTTTCTGTCATGGAAACAGTTCTATAGACCAGGCTGGCTTCGAACTCAGAGATTCCTCTGCCTCTTCTTCCCTGAGTGTGAGGATTAAAGGTAAGCGCCAAGGCTACCTGGCTCAGAAATACCTTTTTATACAGTTATATGACCAAACAACTTATTTCATTTTAAGTAAAAATTTTTAATTATTGGTTTTTAGCTATAAACAATGTACAAATAGGTAGACATAAACAACATAGACATGGACCTTTGAAAGTTCTTAGTTATCTTTAAGGTTGTAAAATCTAAAGGATGGACACTCTTTCTCTGCCTTAGGTCTCAGCTGTGATGACCTGTGGCTATGATCTTATGACCTGTGGTTATGTTTCTTTAACAAAAACTCCTCAGCCACAGTAGACCATTGCCTCTCTTTGCCCCCTCTCACCTCCATCCTCATCCTTTCTCTGTCTTAATATTGAATTCATGAATCTTCCCCACCCCTGTGCCATCTCTAAGGGACCCTGCCATACTGAGCCTTTCCAATGGCAGGTCCCACTGCAGCCTTATCCTGTGCTCTGGATATCTGAACATCCAGTCCTTGCCTTCTGAGCCCTGGTCACCATCCTCAAATTCCTGGTTGAGGCATTCTTCCTCTGAGTCTTCTGATCCACCACTTTGAGCTTCTTCCGGACTCCTTGTCCAGGTGAGATCACCCCTGGGCCAAGAGAGACACATGAATGGATGTACCCAGTGGAACTTTCCTTCTTTCAGATTTCTTTCCCCATTCCACCCTCCCTTCCAGATCTCCGTGCCTCACTTTTCTTTTACTGTTTTTTTTTCTGATGTGCATCATGCTTTCTCCCCCCAAGTATGTTCTCCCTATGTTCTCACCCCAGGGAGCTTTCAGAAGAATTAACTAGATTAATATGGGGTTATTGGGAGGTTGCTTTCTGTTTCATGCTTGTAAGACTCCTGAACCATGAGATGGTCCCATCAGAGCCCTGGGATTCTTCAGGTGGGGAAGGAGAGCCTTCCATGTAGCACGCATATGCAGAACAGACAGCATCCAAGACCACTAGACACCTCTCCTGGGTAAAGCACACAGAAATACAGGAGGGACAGGCGTAGTTCCTGCCATGAAGTCAGCTCCCAGGAGTGCCACTGGAGTGTGTGGCTGAGGCCCAGAGGCTCTGCTGGAGGACCAGTAGGCTTCACTGAAGAGAGGGAGAGCACAGCGCTTTTCATTGCTGGGACTTAGGAAGTGGACATCACAGGACAGCCACAGCCCACTGTCACAAGGGCTCCTCTCCAGAGCTATTCTGGCACTTGTCTCATGAGCTGCCTGGGGTGGTTTCAGAGAAAATGGCCCCTAAAGGGAGTGGCATTATTAGGAGGTATGGCTTTGTTAGAGTAGGTGTGGACTTCTTGGAGGAGGTGTGTCTCTGTGGGGGTTGGCTTTGAAGTGTCATACATGCTCAAGCCATGCCCAGTATCTCAGACCACTTCCTGCTGCCTGCAGGTCAAAATATAGGACTCCCAGCTACTTCTCCAGCACCATGTCTGCCTGCAAACCATCATCTTGCACCATGATGATAATGGACTAAATCTCTGAAAATGTAAGCCACCCAATTAAATTTATTTCCTTTATAAGAGTTGCTGTGGTCATGGTCTCTCTTCACAGCCAAGAAACCCTAAGACACGGCCCCTTAGGGCTAGGACCCAGGCTCTTTTACATTTTATCTCACAGAATGAAGTTGTTAATTCCCCCTTTAGTTTGGAAGGATGGTGCCATCCTCATGAACATAAAGAGGAAACCTGTCGCTCTCCATCCTTCCCCTTGGACCACTGCAACCTCCCATCAAAACAGAGTGCACTGGTTACCCAGTGACAAAACTGGTCGGGTGAAATTTAAACCAGATCACCACACTATCCAGAACACCTGTGTGCCTTCTCATTGAGTTTACAGCAAACCTCATTTCTTCTATACCAGATTTTTGGCCCCTCAGGAGCCCCCTCCAGCGTCCCCTTGCCTCCTTATCTCACCTTGTGTGGGTCTTTTCTTCTGACGTCTTCTTTTGGGTGTTGACCAGATGTCTCTTTTCCTTTTTTTTGCTAAGAAGAAAGAATACAAAATCTTTTATAGTCACAAATATAGATCTGTCAGTATTTTTTATTTAGAAAAATTAAATAATATTTTTTGTTCAGTAATTGTGTGTGTATGTGTATATGTATGTGTGTGCATGTGTGTGTGTGTGTGCTTGTGTGTACATATGTATGTATGCATGTATGTGTGTGTACGTGTGTATGTATGTATATATGTGTATGTGCATGCATGTGTATGTGTGTATATGTGTGTGCCTTAACCTTGAGACAGCTCTCCAAGCTCACCCCTAAACCTTTAAAAAATCAGCTGGAAAGGAGAGATCAGAGGTTGAACAAGAAGAAACAAACTTCAAGGACTGCTGTAGGACAATGGTTTTTTATCCTGTCACTCATATTATTTTCAATAAAATGCTGATTTCCAGTTTATAATTAATGTAAGCCTCTGTGTATTTCTTTGGGACTGAATGGCTGCAGGATGGGACATGACAAAAATCTCAGTCAACAAATGGTGCCCAACGTGTAAACAACTGCATCCACATAAAGCCTGAGAGAACTTGGGAAGTAATTCTAGACAGAAGAGAATAAAGTTAAGCAGGGCTCATTGACAGCAGGATTTTCTCAGGTGGGATCTGTTTGCTGGAGGCCAATGTGTCACTTTTAAGAGAGGCTTCCTGATTCAGCTTTAGCTGCAAAAACTGTGCAGCCCTTTTAAGAGGCCCCACCACAAAATACTTAAATGGTATTTATGAAGAGCTTACAGCATGCTTCTTGGTGGTTGCACAGAGACCTTGAAATACCATAGAGTTGTGGCAATAAACATGGCTCTGGTTAGTGTCTCTGACATGAGGCTAGAATCTCAGAAAGCTAAGGAATGGGCTGGATTCAGCTATCAAAGCCACTGCTTTAATCCTAGCCATATCACTTAGCAAATAATAGACTCATGTGGTCAGGAAAAGAGAGATACAGTAAAGATAGTTTCAGGCAAAATAGCCTCTAAACAGTTTACAGTGTGTTTAAAAATATATGTAGGCTTTGGAAAGAAAAAAAAAAGAAGGATAAAGCCTTTAAAAGAAAAAAAAAGAGAGTAGTTGGGTGTGGTGGCACACACCTTTAATCCCAGCATTTGGGAGGCAGAGGCATGCAGATTTCTGTGAGTTCAGGGACAGCCAGGTCTACAAAGTGAATTTCAGAGCAAAGATACACAGAGAAACCCTGTCTCAAAAAGCCAAAAATTAAAAATAAAAATAAAAGAGTTTAAAATAAAGCCATGTAAAGATGGAAAACACACAGGGAATCTGGATACTGTATGTTATCATGCTCTCTTTGAATTGTCTGAATGCTGAGGAAGGAACAACAGCTGCTAAAAGATATTCGTTTATAAATGCTGCTGAATTAATTCAAGATAGGTATTTTGAAAATAACTTGACATCAAAACTGAAGTTAAAAGGTATGTTACTTTGAAGAGGTTTTGCTTTTGTTTTCACAGGAAATGAGAGGTTGTGGATTGATTCCTGGATAAGAAAAATCAGGTTTAACCAAAGAAGACCTCCTGAGAAATCTCTGATAGGGGTGGATGGCCCAGATGTCTGAGTTCTACCTACATCCAGAACAGATTCAAGACTGCTGCCTGAGATGATCAAGCCTCATAGGATACGCCAGTCATGACTTGATCATAATTCTAAATTTTCTTTAGGTCCCCATAAGATTATCAGCACCCCCAATCAGCAAGAAGTAGCCTTGAAAACTACCCCCACATTCCCCCCAAATGGACTATGGATATTTTCCTTTGTTTAGAAAGTTGGTTACAAGTAGTTATGGATAATGGTCAGAAGAAAAGCTAAACAAAGGATATTAGATTCATAGTTCTTGCTTCTCTCTCTCTCTCTCTCTTTTTTTTTTTTTTGAGGGGGAAGTGCTGCGGACAATGGCCTTTTATTCTGTTACTTGTATTATTTTTAATAAAATGCTGATTGGCCTAGTAACTCAGGCTTCCTATTAATTAATTCTTACATCTTACATTAACCCATTCTTGTCTGTGCTAGCCACATGGCTTGGTACCTTTTTTGGTGAGGCAGTCACATCTTGTGTCCTCTGCATCTGGGTGATGACTGCAGACTGAAACTTTCCTCTTCCCATAATTCTCATTGCCATGCCTGTACTTCCTACCTGGCTACTGACCAATCAGCATTTATTTAAAATACAAGTGACAGGGTACAGACTATTGTCCCACAGCAGTACCCCCCACTTTTTAAAACAAGTGTTAAAGTAAAAATTCTTGTATTAGTTATTGGGAAATTAAGCTAGGTTTGAATAATGGTAGGGCCTATGGATGGTTTCTGGACGCGAGAAACCAAGAATTTGTGAAGGAAAGAGTAGCCAGATGCGAGGAGATAAAGACTGGAGCAGCTGGAGTACTGGGTGGGTTGCCTGCTATCTGCAACTCCCTGAAAGCATCCAGGACCAGCCTGCTACCCATGATGCCTTGAAGGCATCCAGGACCATGGCAGAAACTGAAGTGGGAGAAAATTAGGCTTAAGAAGCTCCAGGAACCCCAATGGGGAAGCCATTGGAGGACAGTACCAGAGTAGTCACAGAGTTTACTACTATCATTACTGTTATTATATTTTTTGGTTGTGGGGGTGTTGGACACATGTACCGTGGTACCCATGTGACAGGCAGGAGACAACTTGAATGAGTAGGTTCTGTTCCTCTGCCTTATAGATTTCAGGGATCAAATTCAGATCATCAGACCTGGTACCAGCCACCTCTAACCAATGAGCCATCTTGCTGGGCCAATAACAACACATATTTTAGCTGATTGGTGACACCTTAAGAAAGAAGCAGGAAATCAAAGAGTGAGATAGAATGTAGGTAGCCAGGTGGCCATCCAAGCTGCTTGCCACCATAAGGTGTAAGAGTGAAGGATGGCAGAAGCTGCCTGAACATGACTCACGAGGAAGCAGTGTTCTGACCAACTGTAGTTAACGAAGTTAGTGGAACAGACACGCTCAGCAGTTGTGGGATAGGAGTCTGTGACTCTGAGGACGTTTAATTCACTACATCTAAGTGCCTTCTTGTTACCTATCATTTTCACGAGGCCTTTGAGAAGGTGGAAGGAAGAGAGACTGCAGAAATGCTGTGATTGTAGAACTGGTGGCATTGTAGATGCTGGGATGTGACAGAGCTGGAGAAGCAGGAAGCATCCTGAGGGAAAGAATGGCTATACCTTTTTTCTTTGCAGAAGTGCTGGTTGCTTCCTGGGCCATTTCCAGGTCATCTGGTGCTGGAGAATCCCCTTTCTGCTTTGCAGGAGTGCTGGTTGCTTCCTGGGCCATTTCCAGGTCATTCAGAGCTGGTGAATCATTTTTCTGCTTTGCAGGAGAGCTGGGTGCTTCCTGGGCCATTTCCAGGTCATTCAGAACTGGAGAATCCTTTTTCTGCTTTGCAGGAGCGCTGGGTGCTTCCTGGGCCATTTCCAGGTCATTCGGTGCTGGAGAATCACTTTTTGCCACTAGCAAAAGAAAACAGAACCCACCTCAGAGCTCAGAGTGTACTGAAGAGAGTGTGTGAAGAAAGACAGTAGAAGAACTCTACCGAAAGGGAGTGAAGCCAGGGATCTGCCAGGCAGCAGGGCTCTGCCTTCATCTGACCTTGTTAATCTTTCTAAAACTTTTTGTACCTGAGTGTTTTGCCTGCATGTGTGTCTGGGTACCACATGTGTGCCTAGTGGCCACAAAGGCCAGAATAGGGCACCATATCCTTCAGGGCTGGAGTTACAGATGGTTATGAGCTTCCATGAAGGTGCTGGGAATTGAACTCAGGTCCTCTGGAAGAGCAGCCCGTGATCTTTGCCACTGAGCCACTTTTCCAGCTCTGACCACCTTGCTGTTGCTACCTATGCATCTGTTAACAGCAAATACATTTTGAAATTCTGCTAACTTTGATGCAATAAGAAAAACAAGGGGGCTTGAAGCTGTAACAGATAAAAGTCCTCCTTAAGGCTGTCTGCTGCTTACACAACACAATGAAAATTGTCTTAACTTCTGGCCAGATACCTGAGGCACACTGTACACCGTTTACAGTTTACTATAGAATTACTACTTTCAAAGTAATTTTTCTTTTCATATCATTTAATAACAAGCATTCTTAGCACTCTATACGATAAAGAATTAACCAGCACCGAGGGTCTACTCCCACAGTCAGGGTGATGTCAAAGTTATCAATACCAATTGCATCACCCATCACTGGGGACACACAGGGTTTCTGCTGTCTGTCTGTGTGGCATTTTGTTGGGGTCATTTTGAGTCTTACTTATTGCAGTGACTTTGTCACAGAAGCAAGGTCACACAGTCCAGCCCTGCCTTGTCCTCTTCTCTCCTGGAGTCTACCACAGTCCTTTGTGGCTGAGGAATTCTCTCTGTTAGTTAATACCTTAACATTTTAACACCGATTCTTGAGCAACATTTTAGAGTCTGGCAGACGTGAGTGGGCTTTCTGATCTTTGTGATCGGTTCCTACAAGTCTACCTTCCCGGTCCTTCGCCCTTGCCTTCCCCACAACTCTCTCTCTCCTTTCAGGAGCTCAGGGTTCCTGACTCCATAAGCACCCAATCAGAGGTAAGTTTAAACTATCCCAATCAAGACTACTAAGAGTTAAATCAGCCTTAGCCAGTGTTACCTTGCACAGCACCAGGGGAACAGAGAGGCTGCCCTCCTGAGGCTTCTTCCTCCTTAACCTTGGATGTTAAGTTGCCTTTGTTCACTGGAGGAGGAAGGAAGATCGTGGGTTACGAGGCCTGGATGTCAAGGAGGAGAATGGGTGGTGTAAATGCCCCAAAAAGGATGTCCGTTTAGGCCAAAGGCAAGTTACCTGGGATTGGGCCTGGCCGACTGTGGGGCATCTCTGGAGAGTCATCTTTATCATTTCTCTGTGGGTCCACGGAGGATGCTGAGCAGAGGGAAGAAAAGAATCAAGGCTTTCAGGATGAGCAGGTAGGGACCAGAGTGGTAAAGAGAACAAATGTGTTTCTAACTGACCAGCGAGGAACGCAGGCAACCCGGGTAAAGCAGGATAGAGAAGCAACAGCGAACGGTTGCTTACTCTTAATTAGCAACTCATTAATTTACTAACAGTATTTCTTCTTTAAAAAAAAAAAAGGCAGAGGATGAGACCTTCTATTGCTGTTAGCTTTCTGATTCTGTTGAACTTTAAGTGGCATGTTTCAGAGGAGTGGAGGAAATGTCCCTGAGTTCAAACATGACTCTTTTATTCTCAGGCCTGGAGAGCAGGGAGTCCATAATACATATCTTTGGCAATGTCAGTAATACATCCTGCTATAGTTAATGTAACCAAACTTCATTATAATGGTGGTTTGGGGAAGGCAAGTGGCACAAGTCTGGAAGCTAAATCAGGTCCCACAGACCATTAACATTTTTATAATACTTTCTAATAGTTTTAATAACATACATATGCGCTGGAATCGAATTTATCTAAAAATAAATACGGAGGGTTGGGCATGTAGGTCAGTGTTTGTCTAGCATGCAAGAGGCCTTGGGTTCTACCCTTAACGTACTATAAAATGAGTAAGGCTGAAACTCAAGGCTTCTGTAGTCAGCGAAAAATCACCAGTAAGTGTATTCACATGTTATGTGCCATTTCAGAACAGAAAGTGGGATTCTATATACTAGGGATTGAACCCAGGAGTCTCACATCTACCAGGGGAGTGACCCTCCACTAAGCTACACCCCCAGTGCCCAACAGCAGCCTTGAAGATTTCCTTTGCAGTGTGAGTCTGCAGAAAGTCCCGTCTGTGTCTCTCCCCATTTATTCTCATGCCCATCTATTTCTCCTGAAGTTCCAACCACAGCCTCCCTTTGGGCATGCACACGGTCCCCATCCACAGCCCAGTCAGTGTTACCTTGTCCAGTGCCAGAGGAAATTCTGGACGTCCTTTCTGAGTCTGCTTCCTCATCAGTTGTAGCGGTTAAATTGTTAGAGGCAGCTGAAGTAGGAAGGAAAACCATGGATTACAAGGTTGGCTATAAGGAGGAGACTGACGAGCCTAAAGTAGCAGTTCTCAACCTGTGGACTGCGACCCCTTTGGCAAACCTCTATCTTGAAAAATATTTGCATTACAATTCATAAAAGTAGAAAAATTACAGACAGGAAGTAGCAATGAAAACAACTGTTATGACTGTTATTACCACAACTTAAGGAACTGTATTAAAGGGTCACAGCACTAGGAAGGTTGAGAACCACTGCCCTAAAGGCTCAGGGAAGGTGAAGTACCAAGGCCAAGGACAGAGGCTGGGGTGTCCAGGTGTACCAAGAAGGTGTTCTGGGATCTGAGCCTCCCTGGCCGCTGGCGATGCTTGCTATTATCTTAGAAAGGGTTGTATGTTGGTGGAGACGAGGGTGCATAGAAAGGAACAGATTAACAAAAGACAGCAATCCGGGGTTCTAAGAAACAGGGAACAAGCATCTCAGGTATGGTTACAAGTTGTAGGAGAAGATCTGTTTCTTGCCTGGAGTGGTCTTTCCTTCCTGCACGAAGCCAGCGGGAGGCACAGCTCGGGGAGAAGGACTGGGCTGCTTATCCAGGATCTCAGTGATTTGCTGTGAGGCTGCTCGGGGCTCACCGACTCTTGGAGCAGAGGACGGATGGCTTGGTGGAGATGGTTGTGGCGGTGGCAATGGCAGCAGAGTCTGGAAAGAGCGCCCTTCTGCTAGGACAGCTGGGGCTTTCGGTAAGGTCTGCGTACTTCTCTTATTCCTTTCATATGCAGTAACAACTGGAATTAGCAAAGGAACACACATCACGACACTGGACGTTATCTGGCAGATAGGATTGCCTAGTGCACCTTCTCCCACAGCACAGGAGGCAGAGTTACTGATTTTCCCCAGGTGCACAGAACAGGTTCATCACCATCCGTGTCCATTTGTGGCTGCTTTTAGCTTTTATTTCATTTGGACACTCAGTGCTATTTAGTCCCTGATATATCACCAAAACTTGGGTGGACCATATAGAAACCCACTACTGTAGAAGCTCGCTAAAATATACACAAATATAAGTTGAATTTAAACAAAGTTATCATATAACAGGGGAGACAATGCCCTGATAAGTTATCATATGCAACCAAATAAAACTCCTAGCTCCAGGAAAACGTCACATCTTTTTGAGTCATTGTCCAAAGAAGTACCAGAGGTTCCCCTGCCCCAAACATTACAGATCATTACCAGTGATATTGGTTACTCTCCATAACCTGCTAATAAGACCCTATTGCTGAATGCACCATACACTTATGCCATGTTGCAGGAAGAAATCACGCTAGTGTTCATCGAGAAGCTTCACCACCACGGACTAGCATTCTTAGTGCTGGAGAAGGTCCTATGCACACTACCAGAGGTGAAAAGTCATCATCAGTCTCACCCAGCTAGGAATGTTGTGAGCTACAATAGTGAGTTACAATGCTGCGACCTGCTGTACTCACTACGGCAATAGTGGCACAAACGTTATGGGGGTGACCAACTACCTTTCTATTGGATGTAAGGGCAGTGTTATGAGATCGAACCCACATTCAACACTGTTAATATGTCCAAATATCTAAGACTAGATAAGTCATGGACCTCAAGTAAAACCTACTACGTTAATTTTCTAAATGAGCATAGCAACACAATCACTACTCATGATGTTTTGCTATATTCATCGTGATGGCTATTATTGGCCATGAACTTGACTACATCTGGAATTACCATCTTTTTAGGTGGTAAGCCCCACCTCTAATCTGAGACAATTTTCTGGCAGTTTATATAAAGGACATGGAAGAAGGAAGCTAGCTCTCTTTGCATGATTGTTCTTTCTGGCAAGAACTGGCAATAGAGCTTACTTCTTTGGGATTTCAGAGTATACTGAAGACCAGCTAAGATACCCAGCCTCTTTGGTTGAACAACTACTGTATTATTGAACATTCCATTGGTGGACAGCCATTGTTGGACTAGCTGAGCTACAGCCTGTAAACCATTTTAATAAATCCTCTTTCTATAAATTCTATTGTTTCTGTTCCTCTAGAGAACCCTAATACACCCATAGATCACTGCACTACTCAACCCTCGCCAGAGAAGCTTCTTCTTGTGGAAGATGGGAATTAACACAGAGACCCACGGCTGGACAACATTCAGAGAGTGGGAGATGTCTTAGTTAGGCTTTCTATTGCTGCAACAAAATACCATGACCAAAAAGCAAGTTGGAGAGGAGAGGGTTTATTTGGCTTACACTCCAGCATTGCTGTTCACCACTGATGGAAGTCAGGACAGGACTCAAATGGGGCAGGATCCCAGAGGCAGGAGCTGATGCAGAAGCCATGGGGGGGTAGCTGGCTTGCTCCCCATGGCTTGCTCAACCTGCTTTCTTATAGACTCTAGGACCACCCACCGTGTGCTGGACCCTCCCAAATTGATCACTGAATAAAAAATGCCCTTCACCTGGATCTCATGGCAGCATTTCCTCAACTTTGGAGTACTCAGTCCTAAATGGGATATCTGTCACGTCCTCCCCTCAAAGCTCAGGGGAGGTACAAAGAGGAGGTACAAAGATCATAAGACCAGAGGTGGTAGATAACTCCATGTAAACAGCTTCCTTTGCACACAGAGGGACTGGTGCATACTGAACTCACAGAGAATGTGTCAACTTGCCCAAGACCAAGTCCAAACCAGACAAACATCTGAGCCCTTAGAATGGGAAGTGGGCACAAAGTTCTGCTTCTAACAAAGAAGCTATTTGTATCTAATACTTGATGGAAAAGGAAAAATCAGTTTTCATCAGTGAAATGACACTGGATATATCAATAACACTCCAGGTCAGGCCCCCATGCTGAGGAATAATTGGCTAGCACAAGATGGACTCCATTTTTTTCTTTTTCTTTTTCTTATTTTTTTTTTTTTAGTTTTATTAGTGTCTATATGTGCTTTTTGTCTGTTTGTTCTGATTTGGGTTTTTTTTTGGGGGGGGGGTTGTTTGTTTTTTGTTTTTGTGTTTTTTCTAACATAGGGTTTCCTCTATGTAAAAGCCCTGGCTGCCTTGGAACTCACTCAATAGACCAAGCTGGTTTCAAACCCACAGAGATCTACCTGCCTCTGCTTGCCAAATGTTGGGCTTAAAGGTGTATACTGGGCTTGAGCTTCCTAAGAGAGAGAAAGACTATGAAGTGGGGTGGGTAGAATGGGAGGAGCTGAAAGGAGTTGAGGGAGGGGAGAGGATGTGACCAAATGTTTGGAAAAGGTTTTGAAAGATAACAGCAAGAGTAAATAAATAAATAAATAAAAGAAAGAAAGAAAGTTAAGCAAAACTGGTTTTGACACATAAAATTGGATATTTTGTACCCAGGGATTTAAGTTCCTGTAATTTTAGTTTATAGAACTTAGTCAATTGTGCAAAATTTTAACATACAATTTTAATTGTGCAATTTTAACAAAGGTTCCTATTTTAACAGATAAATATATCTCCTTGGAGTAAATGAAACAAAGTCTTCTTAGCAGAGTGCATTGAGACCTTGATCTTCTAGTTTCTGCTCATTCCTGCAGGTCCTATTGCACCCTACAATCTGGTCACTTCAGTGGGTTCGACCTATGACCTTTGTCTCCATCCCAACACCAGGCCCTTGGCTTTGCACACACTGTTCCCTTTAAGAGATTGGGGCTGGTTTCTCTTAAGACTGTTCTTCATCATTTATTTCAGAAATAAAGATGCCTTGACCCACGAATGGGAAAAATCATGGACACAAACAAGATTCAGAACAAAACCACAGAGCTGCACTGGCAAAGAGATGAGCCCAGTCAGGTCTCGGAGGACTTCAGCCTATACTGGAAGCTCGTGTTCTCCTGGTCTTTCCAGGGACAGATGCCTGGGCAGCTGCTCTGGTTTTGAGGTGCAGCCTACCCGCCACTGTTCTCTTAGCTTAAGGAATCATCTGTCCTCTGGGGAGGAGCCTTTAGATGGTGAAGTGTCATCAATAGTGACCCCAGCGACGACAGTGTCACAATGCAGTGTGACTGTGTTTGGACTCTGCTGAGTATGTTCTCTCCAGTCTCCATTGGTTTTATAGCCTGATGGTTCTCTTCATCCCACTTCAACTCGCCAGACCTGTTTCTGCCCTTCTTTTTATTCCTTTATTTATCCAGCTGCTATAGTTTAGATATCCAATGTCCCCTCAAAACTTAGACGTTAAGGGTTTGGATTCCAGGGTGACACTACAGACATGGTTCTTGACCCTTTTGGGGCTCATATGACCTTTTCACAGGGATTGAATTTCAGATATCCTGCTTATCAGATATTTATATTATGGTTCATATCTGTAACAAAATTACAGTTATGAAGTAGCAATGAAAATAACTTTATGGCTGGGGGTCTCCACAACATAAGGAGCTGTATTGAAGGATGGCAGCATTAGGAAGTCAGGGAAAGGGTGATACTTGAAGAGGAGGGGCTGACCAGCCCTGTTCGGTCACTGGAGCATCCCTTGAAGGGGACTATGGAATCCAAGTCTCTCTTCATTTTCAGAACACACAGTGAATAGTTTTACTTTGCCACACATTCCTGCTGTGACACACTGCCTCGCTACAGGCTTCAACCATGACAGGCCAGAGCTCTCCCAAACCTATTTCTCATTGTAAGCTAAATTATCTCAGGCATTGTGGGCCAGAAATGGGGCTCTACAAACGTCCCAGCTCTTCCTGTTCCATCACCCTTCATGCTCCATCCTTTCTCCTACCCTCTTTCCATGTCTGTGTCTGTCTCCCTCATCTTTGCGAGCTCTTTCTTCTCTCCTCCAACCTTACAAGCTGCTTTCCTGATGGCTCTGTTGCCGTAGTGGTTACTATCTTAGCCTCTGTCTTGGGAAATCCATATAGGCGTTCCCAGTCCTACTTCTAAAACAAATCACTGTGGGAGTTCCCGCCGAACTTTCCTTGTCTGTCAAGAGCAGTTAACCATGACATCATAGGTTGTTTTAAGGACACATGAGATGATCATAGAAATTGTGCTGCACAACCGCACTGTCTCAGAGAGATGCGCATTGAACCCGTTTCTCCCCTCTCCGTCTCTAGAGCTCGCTGTTTTTTTTCCACATCTGACCTCTGGCATATCTGTCACCTCAGGTGCTCCCTGGAGATGGCCCAGTACCCTTACATTTTCAAGACTGGCGTGGCGGGCTCACACCAGTAACACCAGCACTTGGAAAGAAGACCAAAGCAGAAGGACTACATCATGAGACCCTGTCACAAACAAAGTTATACCTGAACAAAAATTCACTGAGTAGCTGCAACAAAAACATCTGTGCCCAATAAAAATTCACCTTGGGGCAATCAAGATCAAGGCAGCACAGGCTACCCCCTCCAGCTGCTTTTGTGAGTCAATGCAGTTTACCTGTTCACAGGAAGAGCAGGCATTGGGATGCATATTCCACAGTGGAAACAAACCCAGGCTTTTAGTACAGTAACACTGCCCATGGAAAAGATTTTGGAGAAACCAAGCACGTTACCATTTTTGAAGCTTCTGAAAACTTCCCCCAGGCTGGGGTATTCGCGCAGGTTGACTTGGCTGAACAGTGTCAGCAGCAGTGACGGGTGGAAAGTCCGCTCCAGACTGGTGAGAACATTGTGCACCACTCTGGATACAGGGACCAGATTCCGACAAGCATCCAGAGAATCCTTCAAAGTGTGGAGCAAGGAAGAATTAGTTTGAATGGTTCTTCATTGAGCTGAGAAGTCGATATTTGTGGTTTTCTATATTGTAAGAAAGCTACTTTGGGCTGCTGAGGCTGGCTAAGTGGGTGAAGGTATTGGCCATTGAGCCTGAGGACAGGGGTCGGATTCCCCAGGATCCATATCATGGAAGGTAAGAACAGAGTCTGCAAGTTGTCCTTCGACCTCCACATCACGCATGTGCCCACCTCCACCCTCAAACAAATACATGATTGAAATTTAAAAAAAGAAAAGAAGCCAGGCTTGATGACACATGCTTTTAATCCTAGGAGACAGAGAGTCAGATCTTGAATCTTTTCTGTTGAGGCCAGCCTAGTCTACAGAGTGAGGTCTAGGACAGCTAGGGCTACACAGAGAAGCTCTGGTGGGTTATAGGCCTAGATCTCAATAGTGGAACATACTTAGTGGGGACTGGACTGCCTTGTGGAGGGTCCACAGGCCTCACCTTATATATTTTTTCAGTGATGAAGCAGTGGTCTCGGAGGGCTTCGAAGAAAGGGAAAGGCTTGTTGATGGCATAGGCAATGTCCAGCTTCGTCTGAATGAAGTGCTGGAGAAGAACGTCCTCAATGGCCTTTGTCATGGTGAACATCCTGGGGAAAGAGGCAGGCTGAGGAGACAGAGACAGAGGCTGTTCAGAGTATGGGGAGTTGCTCTTGTTGGAATGGGTACTTGAAGGTAGTCATCCTAGTCCTCAAGCATCCCTTAGTGGTCTGTAGACCCAAGTCTAAAAGATCTGTGCAGACAGAAAACAAAGGCAGTGCCCAGAGACCACAGAGGCTGAGAGTGACAGACAATAGCATGCCACCACCCTGAAAGGCATTTTCAAGCATCAAGTGGCTTTTGAAAATATCTGCTATTCCCTGAGTGGTTGTTATGTCCAGCCTTTGTTGTTAGGATTTCACTGGTAGTATCTTCCTGAGTTCACAAAGTATGCAAGATGCTCACTGTCATTGCAACTATGTAGCTGTGGAGAGCTCCAATGCAGACAAGGGTGGGGTAACTCTCATGCTAGATGACACAATGTGGACCCGGCTGAGAAGATATCAAACACTGACTTTTCTTCTGGCTGCTGGTTTACAGTTGAATGAGTGCTTGACACTGAGCAGGGTTAGAACAGATCAACACATTGCAGCTGAACCCATCCCGTACCAATGTTCTCAAGAACAGGGACCGCCAAATGTGGGCAGCTAAAAACCTAGCCATATTTAGACACTGAAAAAAACCACATATTTTTACACAAACAGGCGACACAAAATAAAACCAGGAAGAGTGTGAAAAATAGGATTGGTCAAAGTGATGTCACAGTTTGGATTTATAAATCCACTTCATTCTTCCAGACAGACCTGTACCTGTTCCCATAACCATATGATGTTCATAAAAACCGACCACTTCCAGATCATGAGGAAATAGCCAGACAGTTGTGACAGGACCAAAACTTCCTAGGTGACACAGCAATGGTAAAGTGTTGTAAAAGCAGAAACCCTAGTAAACAGTGCCATCATTTGGGGGAGCTCTTGGTACTTGGCAGTCCTGGGGACTGAGCCCTTGTGCTTCTTTGGTAAGTGCCCTATCACTGAGCTATGTCCCCAGCTAACACTGAAGTTTATTTTGTTTTATTTTTTAAACACAAAGCAGACAAGGATACCCCCTTTCATCTTTTGTTAAATAGAATATTAAACTGTAATTAGTGAGCGTTTCCAGGGATTTAATCCCAGTGGCAAACTAAGCAGTCCTGTTCATTTCTACTAATTTCCAAATTCCTTAACCTTGGCAGGGAAAAAAAAATAAGGAAAGAAGAAGAAGAAGAAAAAGAAGGAGGAGGAGGAGGAGGAGGAGGAGGAGGAGGAAGATGAGGAGCATCATCATCACCCGCTGCAGGACTGTAGGGCAGGACAATGGAAATACCATCAGTAGGCTTCAGTCCTGAGAAAATCCTGGCAGTTGAGGCCTGGTGTGAGAGAAAGTTGTTGACAGAGCTCATGTGGAGAGAGGGGAGTCCAGAAGGGATACACACTCTGGGCTCTGTTTAGGATGGCTTACTATACAGCAGGATTCAGACTAAGACTGACAGTGTTCTCATTCCTCATCTGCCATGGTTTCCAATTGATGAAAACCAGACTCCAGAGAGGTTAAGTAACAAAGCCCAAGGAAACCAATGGTACAGCAGAGTCTGCCTGGTGCTAATATTTTGTTTTTCACTGTGCAAGACACTGTATCTCAAGCCTGACAAAATGACTCATAATTTCTGTGGAGTTTGAGGCCAGCCTGGTCTACATAGTAAGTTCCAGGACAGTCAGAGCTACATAGTGAAACTCTGTCTTCAAATAAAAACAGGAAAAAAAAAAGATACTGCATCTCATAGACACCAGCATCCAAGTTTTTATTATGTTAAAGGGTCTTACAAATAAATTAGGAAAAGGCAAACACACAGTAGGAAAGACAAAGCCCAAACAAAACAATCAATAAAATAAGCCACATGTACAATAAGTGCATTAAAACACAGCAAGTGGGAAGAGCTGGGAAAGTGGGAACGACTTGATAGTAGATATTCATATCAAAGCAGCCTACAGAGAAAACGGTAGTCATAATCCCTGATAATGGTAGAAAAGTAAACCAGCTCAAGGGTTCCCTGCCTCATTTGGTAATCAGTACCATGAACCCTAAAATACGAATCCCTTTGAATTTTCATGCACAGGAATATATTTCAAGGAAATGAACATAAATTTGTCAAAACAAACAAACAACACTTCCCCCCCCCCAAAAAAAAAAAAACGAAACCTCATAACAGGCTACAGAGACGGTCCGTATTTTTCTCTTTCTCATTAGCTTCAAAATTAGGCAAATGCCTGGTAGATGCTGAAGGCACCACCCACCGTGGGCACATGCAGGGTTCAACCTCAGAAGCAAGCACAGGAAACTGTCCCCAACAGTCTTTAACTTCCCGAAAAGAAACTGTGTCTTAGCTTCCACTGCGCGCCCCTCCAGGCCCCTTATCCACTTCCTAGTAGGTCCTAGGCACCCGCCCCAAGACTCCGGAAAACACTACTTTGTCAAGAGACAGCCTGGGGACCCTAAGGTCCAGCAGGTAAAAGCTGATCCCCAAGAATGAAGACTCCAGCTTTGCAGATTTGCAGAACCCAAGAGCAGAACGCACCTGGATGCTGGGCTGTCTCCTAGGCTCACTAAAGCGGCCAGGGATCCTTTAAGGAGATTCTGGACCCTGCCAGGAGACGCCTTCCGGGAAATCTTGCTGCCTTGGCCTTGCCGCCTTGGGCTTCCAGAAAAGAAAACCGAAAGTGATCTCAGCACACAGAGCAGGAAGAGAGAGCGCCACTTCTGTCCCCGTGTCCTCCCCCACCCCCTCATCTCCCCGCCCTCCGGCCTCGGGCCTAGGGAATCCCCAGCAGCGTTAGTAGTTTGGGTTACAGAGGCCCTGCTGAGAATCCAGGCCCTTCAGGAGTGCAGTAACAGGCGGGGGAAGCTAAGGACCAGCTCCAGAGAACATGGAAGGGGGTTTCCACTGTCTCCTTCTCAATCTGTTGCCTCATTTTAAGCTTTCCTCGTTTTAATCTTTGTGGAACGCTGAAATGTTCTCAAACTGGATTGAGAATAAATTTGCTAGAAATCGTCAAATTGGAAACAACAATAACGCTAAACAGAGCTGACATGTTTAAAATGCTTAGAGTTTGTCAGGAGAAAATTGAAAGAAAAGGCAAGGAAGTGAACCCCACTCCCACCCCAGCCCCAGCAGGTGAAGCCAGGCAGAATGGGGCTGCACAGCCCTTTGAAGATCCCTGAGGAGCCTGAAGCAGGATCTTTGAGAAGCTTTCAACTGAGAGTTCTGGGGAACTCTGCTACGTTTCCCAAATGTACTGACCCACGGAGAACTTCCTCCCAGGACCCCCATGAGGACTCTGCGGCTTTAGATTTGGACCAAGGCTAGCCCACACAGGAGAGAGCCCCTCTGTTCTTATGGAGGCACCTATAGTCACATTCCAGCCAAGCACAATCAGAGCAGCAGACTTGACCCAGACTGTCCCAGGGATAGGGACTCAGAGAGGAGGGAGAACACGGCAAGTTCAAGTTCATGCAGGTTGTGTGGGAGCATGAGAGCAGGCTTGTGTGCCAGAAACATGCCCCACCCCAAGAATCCTTTAGAGCCAGAAAAGCTATTCCAGTAGACATATATAAATAAGGACAAAAGGCGTCATTATATACCAACATACGCAAGAGTATAGTAATAATGCTAAAACCTCGCCTGCTCATTCACACCAAATGAGAGCCTATTAAGACTATATATTTTAGCACAGTTTTATAGCTATGTAAAATACATTCATAAAGTGATTATTTTGGTGAATTTCGCCACAAGGAAGACACAGGTCATCTCCCCCTCCACCCCTGTCTGAGAAAGGACCCTATTCTTGACAAAGAAAATCCCTCCTGGACTACAGCCCCAGGTAACCACAGATCGACTGTTGCATAGCTAAGTTTGGTATGAAAATGTCATATAAATACATATTCATTAAGTGTACTTTTTGGTGTATGGTTTCGCTTGCTCATCGGTGTACTCTTGAAACCTGTTGGTGCAGGTCAGAAATTTTCCTCTGCAGCAGAAGTCTGAGCCTTGAATTCAGCACAAGCCTTCAGCCCCATCCACCTTTTCTTTGACACCATATTTTACGTCTATTTTCAGTCTTCTGTTTGTTGTTTGCTTATTTTATTTGCGTTTTTACTCTCCTTTCTTTCTTTCCTTCCTTCCTTCCTTTCTTTTTATTGGTGTTTTGAGACAGGGTTTCTCCGTGTAGCCCTGGGTGTCCTGGAACTCACTCTGTAGACTAGGCTGGCCTTGAACTCACAGAGCTCAGCCTGCCTCTGCCTCTCGAGTGCTGGGAATGGAGGCATGCACTGCCACTGTCCCTTACTCCTCTTTCGTTACCTTTCCACTTGAAACGAGTTTTCTGACTTACAGAAGGAGGTTTAGGTGTGAGTGATAAAGCTGTACAGAATGAATGTAATGTGCCCATCCTTCAAATCTGTCCTGTCCTTGACGGGCTACAGCCCTAGCTATGAACTCCTTACGCATTCTACAAGAAATCTCTTGTTTTCAAGACCTGGGTGAAATTGGTAAAGCCCTTTGTTGCCCAGCTTTCAAAGGCATATTTCTGCCTGGGTTTTCTGCACTGCCCTTGTTTGGAGGAGGCAGGGGAGAGGGTTTTCCTGCTTCTGGCTACATTCAGAAGCTCCAAGAACTTTAGGAGGCCACACCTTCCAACTTTTCCGAGCCTGGGGCTCAAATATCAGGTCTAACTCTACAGCTCTGGCTCACTAGGGTTCCAGGACAGCCCCAGGTCTGAGAGATTGTGGACAATTTACTCTTCCTTGTCCTTCCAGGCACCACCCCAGCTAAGGACAAAGGAGACACTTTTTTCCCTTTTCCCCGCAGCCTGAGCCCTGAGCTGACAGACTCTCCCACCGTTCCTTAGAGTGAGAAAAAGGATCTATAGAAACTTGAGTTGTCTTTGCTCCTCCAGTCTGGGGAAGAGACTGGGCAGAGGCAGAGTGGACAGGGAGGAGTGCGGGGGAGGGCGCGGCCGGGAAAGGCCATATGTGAATGCAACCACGTAAGTCACAGCTGAGCGGTTTCACTTTCTTTTTCCTCCTCTTTAAAGGACCTGGAAAGTGTTCTCTCTGAACATCGGAGAGGCTCAGAGGTGGTACAATCCTTGGCTCAAGGCACCTTCAGGGTTGTGTAGGGGATGGCAGGAGGAGACAATGGATCCAGTAGCAGGTAAGTCCTTTCCCCTCTCCTTATCCTGTGTCTCTGCTAAGATCTATGTTTGTATGTGTTACCAGGGCCTCTCAGGCAGGGTCCTTGTGTCCACGGGAACGTGAGACAATGAGATCACAAGGAGATTAAGAACTGGGACAAGCAGTTGTCACTGCTGTTGGCTAGCTATTGGAGAGTCCTATAGCCACCTCAACTCACCTCACTTCATTTCCTTGTTCCTGTCACATAACTGGACTGACACTGTGTGGACTTCTGGGAGCTCCTGTAGGAATGGCTGGCTCATAGGGGCTCTGACATCTCATCTCTCCCTAATTATCATTCTAAAAGATAACTTTGTCCAAAAATGATCACTTAGAAAAAGTGAAAACTTAATTCCTTCTGTTGCCAAGTTTTTCTCAGTCTGAGTGAGGGGACAGCTCACTCTGAGCCCTCCTGTGTGGCTTAGGTCAGTTCAGGAGTTCCATCCCTGACATGGAGGAAGGGAAAGGTGATGAAAACCAGGCAGGTGGGGAATGGGTGTTGCCTTTACGCCTTTAACTTTTTTTTTTTAAATCTTTGCTGGTTACATAGTGATTAGAAATGGATCGAAATTATATTACCTTACACACACACACACACAAACACACACAGAGAAAGGGACCGGAGAGATGGCCCAGTGGTTAAGAGTTCATAATGCTGTATTAGTGGACATGGGTTGGGTCCCCAGCACCCATCCTGGGGCTTCCGGCTTCCTGTGACTCCAGCTCCAGGAGACCAGACATCCCCTTAAGTCCTCCACAGGCACTGTGCTTCCATGCAGGGGACACACACTGAGACAGACACAAATATACATAATTGCAAAGGAAAAATAGAAGAATTAAGACAAAAGTGTATGGAGCTAATTGTCCTCTAACAGTGACTCAGTCAAGGCTACCTCTGGTCCTGCAAAAGTTCTGAGAAAGCATCGCTTCTCCTAAGAAACTTGGTCAAGTCCAATAGTGATGCCGACAGACCGCTGAATCTTTTGGGAGTGGGGTGGTATAAATTACTGGTTCAGTTTCTTTACTACACGTGTGTTTGGGTGACAGGTCTCTCAGAGCGTGAATTTTGGTAGTTTCTGTTTTTAAATACATTGGTCATTTTTGTTGCTGCTGTCATCCAGTCTGCAGATACAGGATGACTGCTCTATCTCGTCTCTGCTGCCCTTTGAATGTCTGAAGAATTCATAGCTTGTGTCTTGTTGTTTGTTTGTTTATTCCTTGTTAACCTGACTAGAGATATAATTTAAAAAGATAAAGATAAATTTATCGATCTTTCCAAAGGAGTAGTGTTTTAGTGTAAGGATAATGCTAACTTATTTTAATTTTATAGAGTTCTACTTATATTTTTATTACATCTTTTGTTTTCATTTGGGATGAAATTGTTTTTCTTATTTTCCTGATTCTTCAGAAGATTTTCATATACTCCTCTCTTAGCTTTTGATACCTACATTTAATGCTACACATTTTCCCCAGCCACTGTCTTTGTTACATGTCTGCTTTAATTTTTTTTTTAACTTCAGGGCAGGAGGAAGGGCGACATTTTTACCTGTATACACCCATAGGGTTTGTTTGTTTTTTTTTTTTGATTATATTAATTTATTGTATGTGTGCAAGTATACACAGTGTGTATATTGAGGTCAGAGGACAACTTGTGGGAGCTGGTTCTCTCCTTCCTAATGAGTTTATGGGGATCAAACTCAGGTTCTCGCTTAGACCTGGTGCAGGGTCTTTATCTACTGAGCCATCTCACCAGCCCCTAAAATGACTCTATTTTATTTACATTAGTGGCAGTTTTCAAATGTATTCTGTTTTCAATGATTATATTTAGACCATTCACATATAGACCGATTATGAACAAAGAGTAACATCTACCATGTTTATAAATGCTTTCATTTTACATTTTTCAGCCTTTCTTTCTTGTAACATTAACTCTAATTGTTCTCAATAAAAACTTTCAAGTACTGAGATTAAAGGTGTGAGCCACCACCACCTGGCTCTGTTTCTCTTTTAGACTGGCTCTATCTTGTATAGCCCAGGGTGGCCTGAACTAGCAGAGAGTCCTCTGCCTCTGCCTCCCGACTCCTGGGATAAAAGGAATGCCACTGCCTGGCCTCTAGTGGTTTAGTTCTGCACTCTTATCTCTAGGCAAGCTTTGTTTATTAAAACACGAACAAAATATCACTGCACTTTCTTTTTGGGCCTTTTGGCTTTAGTCAACAGCACTTTATGATTGATTCTTTTTTCCTTGATTTCCTTCATCATTTTTTTTGTCTTGTTTTGTTTTGTTTTGTTTTCTTTTTTTGCAGTACTGGAGATTTCTTCTGGGCATCCTCTTGAGAATGATGTTTGGAGAAACCTCTGTATCTTATGGCTCTTTGTTTTTGCTGAACAGTCTATTTTCTTCACTGCTCATTGCTTTGCGGCATTTGTAGTTTAGTTTTAACACTGCGGCACTCTTGGATTTCTGATTAATTTGCTGCACTGCTCCAGTTTGGTCACAGCATCCAGTGTGAAACTGTACTGTTTTAGTTTATCTTCTGTGAAATAATTCAGCTGTAACTCCTGGTTTTGCTCCAGTTCACTTATAAGGAGCTGAGTTCAGATCCCTAGAACTCACATAAAATCTGGATGTGGTGGTGTGTGTTTTTAACTCCAGAATTAGGGCAGCGGACACAGTTGGCTCTCTGAAGTTCACGGGCCAGCTAATCTGACTGAATTAATGATATTCAGGTTCAGTGAAAGACCTTGTCTCAAAAAAAAAAAAAAGGAGAGCACCTGGACTCCTTACCACAACACACACACACACACACACGCACACACACACACACACACACACACACACACACAACTTCTTTAAGTTTAAGATAAAAATTATTGTATAGTTTTGTTATATTATTACATGTGGAATATAGACTCTTTGTGAAACATAATGCTTCTGAAGTTTTTTGATATTGGATATTTTTTATATCCTTTATGTTTGTCGTGTAGCCCTGACGAGCATGGAATTCACTATGTAGACCAAGCTGGCCTTGAATTCATGGTGAACCTCCTGCTTCCAGCCCTGAAGTGCTGGGATTAGAGGTGTGCATAACCACATCCTTTTTTCCTTAAAAATTGTGGGGAATGTCTAAAGCTAGTTTTCTGGGTTAAATCTAATGTGAGTTACCATTAGTTACAAACTTCAGACTTTTAGATTATTTATCCTTAAAAGTAGTAGCAACGGACCTATCACTATCACAGTACTGTATTTTTATGGAAAATAACAATATTTTCTAAAATAACAATAAAGGAGGGGATGTAACCTTGCTTTACCTTCTTGCAAATGCTTTTACTCTCCTGCTTAGGCAAGCTTCCCAGACTTCCCTGGTTACATCTGTATCTAATCTGCTGTGATGCCATAGCCCAAGGAACCTCTGAGAAGCCCGCTGGATACTTTCGGGAGGAGGAGAGAGATAAAGAGCAGGTGGTAGTTCAGTATTAGTCTGAAAAGAGCGTGTCCTCAGTGACATCCGAAGAAGCCTGGAGCAGTGTCAGGATTGCCCAGACTACACTCCACAAGTCACCATTCTCAATGACTTAGCATTAGGTGACATTTAAAAAAAAGTTGTATCCTGAGTGACAGCACCAGTTGATGTGCTGGTATGGATGAGGGAGGGCCGCTCACAAGGCCCCACCCCTAGATGAAGAGCTACAGGGAACTGACGGCTGCTGAGAAGGAGAATCAACCAGTATCCTCTAGGGATAACCTAATTCTGTTAGGTTATCTAGTTCCTAGTGGTTAGCCCTAAACACATATGCATAGAGGCAACACTAAAAGAACTCAGCAGATTCTATCATCTATCTGTCTATCTATCTGTCTGTCTGTCTGTCTGTCTATCATCTACCTTTCTCTGTATATATATATATGTATATATATATATATATATATATATATATATATATATAATTTAAAAAGGTATTTCAGGGGGGAGTGGAGAAAATCACTGGGGAACCTGAGGGGGAAAGGGAGAAGTAGAAATGATATAAATACAGCATTCATGTATGAAATTTTCAAAAACATGATAAATTTCTAAAAGTAAACAAAAGGCAAAAAGAAAGATGCACCGTATTTTTTTTTTTAGTTTTGTTTTTAATTAATTATTTAGGTTAGCATACAAAATACTGGTTCTCATCACGGCCTCTTCATACTTACATGCCATAGTTTAACTTGTCTCCTCCCCCACTTGCAGGAGCTGGTTCTCTCCTTCTACCCCGTGGGTTCCAGGGTTGAACTCAGATCATCACACTAGAGGGCAAGCTCTTTGGCCACTGAACCATCTCACTAGCCCTCCGGCCACTTGTTGTGTAGTAGAAATTTGCTGGTCGGTATTGATTTCTTTCTTCCATTAATTGAGACGGGGTCTTGCTAGATAGCGCAGGCCTGCCTCGAAGTCACTAGGTCAGGGCTAGCAAATGCCTCAGTGGATAAAGGAGCTTCCCAGGCAACCTAAGTTTGATGCCCAGAACCCATAAAAGAGTGAAAAGAGAGAAACAACTCCACTCCATGAAGTTGTCCTCTGACCTCTACATGTGCTAATACTGTGAAGTGTAAATACTCAGTAAAATTATAAAGAAAGCAAATCACTATGTAGGCCATGATGGTCCTTCTGCTTCAGCCTCCAGGATGCCACGACTACAGACCCTTGTACTATGCCCAGCTCTCTTGCTTCTGCCATTGTATTATCCAACATGATTTGTTTCCATTTGTTCACCAGAATGAGGTCAATAACATGAGCAAACAACTCCCATGTCTCTTTGGGCTTCTGGGCCTCCTTTCCCTAGAGGGTCCTTTCCCTGGACTCTGTCTTTGGGCAGAGAGCAGCGGCCACCTGCGATGTTAGGCACTGTGCTGAGGACAGCATGGTTAATAAGCGCTGGTTCTAAGTTGTTAGAGAGACTCTCCCCCATCACTGCAGGGAGGTGGGGAGCAAGGAGGAGAGAAGAAAGCATGTGGAGCAATAGAGGATGAGCCACTCAGTGTGGGCTTGGGTAGAACGCTTTTTCCATCCTGGATCAACCGCTGATCAATTTTGCCTGCACACATGAGCTGGAAGAAGAGGGTGTACCAGTCTTTGCTGTTTCCTGGTACCCTGCGGTCGATGGATTGTTTCATTTCTGCGGCTGTGATAAGAGACCCTGACACAAAGTGACCTGGTGAAGAAGGAACTTATACTCTCATAGGGCCAGCTTACAGTTCATCATTGCACGGAAATCTAGGCTGGAACTTGAAGCAGCTGGTCATACCCATAATCCAGAGCAGAGAGAAGAGAATGCAAGAGTGCCTGTCAGTGTTTAACTTATTCCCAACACTTAAGGCTGCCCAGGATCCCCCTACCTAGGAATTGGTGCTGCCCACAGTGGACTGGGGCTTCCCATAGCAATTAGCATAATGAAGACACACCCAGACTGATGGATCCATAGACCACCTTAACCTAGACAGTCCTTTAAGACTCATATATCCCTGATGGTTTTAGAGTATGTCAGGTTGACAATTTAAACTAACCATTGTGTTGGGCATGGTGGAGCGTGATTTGAATCCCAGTCCTCAGGAGAGGCAGGTGAATCTCTGAGGCTAACCTGGTCTACATAGCAAATTCCAGGCAAGCCACACTTACAGGTGATAGCCTGTCTCACACAAATAAAACCCAAAGCATCAAAACTTGCACCACTATTTTAGATGTTTAAAGTTTCAATTTTACTTCAAATCATTCCTTTTAGTGGACCATTCTTTACACCAGAAGTTATCTAGTCATTGGTAGTATCTAGTAAACCAGTTTATACTTATACATGAAATGTATCCCTTAGGGCAAGCTCAGAGTACCTGAGCGAAGAGGAGTCACCTGAGTATGAGCTCACTTTCAAGTACTTTAAAGAAAATAAGGTGGAAATCGCGAGTGCCATCACAAAGCCCTTTCCTTTCCTTATGAGCCTCCGAGACCGTGGCTACATCTCTGAGCAGAAGTTCCGGGTGAGTGAGGAGAAGGACTCAGCCCTGACAGTCAGCCTGCCCTGCCTGTGCTGTATTTCTCTGAACCTCGGGATGCACCCAACAGGCTGAAGGGCATCCAGGGAGTAGGAACCTTTACTTCTTGGAAGTCAGAGGTGACAGGAGAAGCAGGCATCACAGGAAACATTCCTATCTGTCTCTGCAGTAACCGGGGCTGAGGTACATGGTGACAGGGGAAATATGGGATGTGGGAATGCTCTAAAGGGCAGAGCACCCCAGGTTTGCTTGTGCAGTTTAACAACAGAAGCTAGAATGCAAGTAGACATGTCCAAGCAGGGCTTCTTTACAAAGGCTACTTATTCCAAATCCCAGAGCCTGAGAGCTTTGAAAGTCACAGGCAGTTGGGTCACAGGAGAATAGAACCGGAAGTCATACTTGCTTCTTGTTGTTCAGGTGCCACTAAGGCCCTAGAATGTTGGTGATGGGGTCCCCTGGGGATAATGACAAGCCTTCTCTTCTTTGTGCATTGTCTTTGCCCTGTGGCCAGGATGATCACTTGGTTGCCTTGAGCCCTGCAGACCAGGTCAGTCTCCAGGGAGCTCCTGTCTGGTCCCAGCCTCTCATGGCCTGTTAGGGCCGCAGTGGAGCATCTTGGCTTGGCTCTTACAGACACATCCTTTGATTATTCTTCAGAGCTACTCTTCCCTGTCAACTGTGTGTCAGCATCAGAGCTGCTCTCGGATAAGCACGGGTCTGTCATTGCAGAGAGGACATGTAAGATGTCACCTCATCAATGCAAAACTCAGACACTTTACAAGAAATCGAATGGCATTTGAACCATTCTAAGCCTCTCTTATAAATTCATAAATCCATTGTGACATAATTCTTCCTTCAATATTTTTAAGAATTATCAGCAAAGTTGTGAAAACCAGATGCCACCGGAAATAGTGTATGACATCCTCAGTGACCTACAGAACGAGTTTAGCCTGCCGCTTATGGAAGTGATATTCAGCCCGACGCATCTGAAGGCCTACCCAGATTTAAAGGAGACTCTAAAAAACCGCCCAAATGGTAACTATAGCTCTCACCTGCTTCCGGGAGTTCAAGACAATTTCATTCATTCATTCAATCACTCATTCATTTTTTTCACTGATAGTTGACATGGAATTTATTGAGGGACTGTGACATGCCAAACACAGGGGTAATGTAGGAAATACACATGGCCCATGTAGTCAGTAGCTTACACATAGGCCAAGTAACACAGAGATAAGTGTTCAGTCCGAACCTGAGTTTCATACTGTTAAGACACACTATGAATGGCAAGTTCCCTTAGAAAGGAGCTGGCTCTCTGGTACTTACAGACATGTCCAACAACCAAAATGTGTTCCTTGTATCAGAAAATTTACCACTCAGTGGAGTCCTACATTAACTTCCTTCTTTGACAAACAGAGAGATCACAAGGGAAACCCCTCTTGGACCCAGGCACCAGAGAGGGGCACTCTGTGTCAATTTAGAGTATGAAAAGAAGGTGGACTCTTAGAACTGAAGGGCTGGCATGTCGCATGAATGTGAAGTCAGCAGGTCCTGGGTAGAGAACAGCCTCTGTAGCTCCCACTGGTCCCCTGTGGCCTCAGCTTTCCAGCTCCCCTACCTCTAAAGGACTTTCAAGAAGGTACACCCTCATCAAACTCCTTGTGAAGAATATTTTTACATTTCTTGGGTATCTTTCCCCTTTTCCCTCATGTCTTCTGGGTCCTGTCTCTTCATCTGTATCAGTTGGTCACCTTGAAATGCAGCTCTTTAAGGTCCAGAGTTGGTGTTTCACTTCTCACTGGCCACCTGAGGGTCACTGGCAGCCACTTTCTGTGTTGCCTTTCAGAAAGCAGTCTTTCATTTCACCCAACCCATCCTTCCTGGGGAAGCACTGATCCCCCTTCAGGAAGAGGAAGTACTAGAGTGTCTTCCTTGACTCAATTCAAGCAAATTCTCTCTATTTCCCTCTCTACCTCCATTTCTCCCTTTTTCTTCTTTCCTGCATCCTTGAAAGATGTTGACTTTTCCCCTCCCTCCGTCCCCTCCTCCTTCCCTTCCTCCCAGCCTCCTTCCTGTATCTACAAAGTTTTATTTTTTCTACAGAAGCCCCTCTGCCTTTCTTGACGTAGCTGTGTCACTTGTAAAAACATTTTCTGCCTTTGTTTTAACCTGGAATTGGCTTTCACTGTCCTCTGACATTTTTGAGGAGATACAAACCATGATTGCTATTTTCCCACTGCTGTGTCTAACTTTCCAGGGTACCAAAGGGCCTAGAAGGTTGCCCAGAAACACCAGAGTCCAGTATGCACCTGGATATAGAACTGTGAGATGCAGCTTGGCTCACAATTCAGATTCCTAATCGCTTTTTTCCCTTCTCACTGGTTCATGTCTGCTTCTATTACATGCTCTGCAAGGAAACTTCAGCACCCACTCAAGCCTTCAGCAGGCTAGCTTGCCAAAACCATGGTTTTAGATTGAGAGGTTATTCAAGGAGTTTCCACAAATCCATTCATTTATCTCCAAAAGCTTGCAAATTGAGAGGGCAAATTCTTCTTCATTCCATTTTGTATGTTAAGCAGATGCTTAGACATATGTAACTTGGTCAGGCCAAAGTCAAGCCTGAGCAAAGGACTAGCATCCCTCAGAACACACTGTAGTGATGTTGTGTGAGGCAGGATTATGGGGTTGCTAGGATCCCTGAACATGGTTCTCATGGGAGATCTGGGGGGACATGAGGAGTGTGCTGGGCCTGATACAAAGGTGAAGAGGAGAGATGGTAGAATTGGAGCCTGTCACATGGGGATTAGAGCTCTAGGGTCAAAGGAAGCTCAGAGATGAAAGGAGGCTGTGCTAAAGAGCATTGACATCAACAAGGAAGGAAAGGGCTGAAGCATGTGTGATGCTTTATATTGTAGAACAACAACATTGGGGACCAAAAAACAAGAAGAAAGTAAGAGGGGTGAGCAGAGAGAAAAGAGACAGAGCAAGGCTTTAGATGGGTGGGGGCAAGTATCTCAGATGAGGTGCTGGGAGATATCTGCCTCATCGCTGTCTGATTCGGTCATTGCCATGTTTCTCTTTAGTGTCCAACAACCACAGGACTCCTCAGAGGATAAATGGAAGAGATGCTGATGAGAGGCCCAGACTGCCAGCACTTGTCGCAGAAGGTGATTATGTTCTTAGACTGCAAATTACCTCACTGGTGCTGTTTTCCTGTCTTCACCCTTCTCGTCTCACCATTTCCAACGTGCACATGCATGCACACAAACACACACACTCACACACACCCACACACTTTTGTTCAGCTTGTGGCTGCTGTCCCCAGTGGGAGACAAGAAGGGAAGGAGGGTGAGTCTCTGAATAGAAGAGAGCTTTTGGGTGATTAAAGGGTACAAAGTCATAAAAATGAAGATTAGAGGCAAGAACGGGAGATTCCTAAGCAGACTTGAGTTTATCTGGAATCAATCTGGCTTAATATATGGCCACATATCACTTAATAATGGGGATGAATTTCTGAGAAATGTGCCATGAAGTGAGTTCTTTATTGCATTGACACTGTAGAGTTCTCTGCCCCTAAAGATTCCAGTTACTGGGTCAATCACTCACTGATCATATCAGCCTATCTGATGTCTGTCTTAACGTGGTCCATCCTAGGTTAAAATGTTATCATATGTCACACGAATGTGTTCTCAGGATGGAGTTTGATAAGAGAGTGAAAAATGTAAACACATTTGCTAGAGATCACACAGGAACAATGAAATGTGGCATTAGGGGAAATATGCGGAAGGGGGTATAAAATTAGATGACGAGAGAAAGGACAGAAAAGGCAGGGCAGCAGTCAGCAAGAGAAGGTCAACTCAATGAGCTCCATAAATAGATGCATGGTGTAGAGTCAGCAGTGTGGGAAGATGGTGCTGGAGACGGGAAAGGAGATGGGGCCAGGAGGGCTGCTCACAGACACTGGCAAATCTTGGAGGTACAAGCATGCCCACTCTTTAGGCAGTGACTTGATAATCTCTCAGAGTCCCACCTATTCATATCAGGTATGAATTCAGGTCATTACCAGCTGTCTTTCATGTTTTTTTTCTCTTTAATGACCCAGAAACCTTCTTTACAAATGAGTGGAGAAGGCAGATCAGAAGTCCAGAAGGTGATACGAATTTCTTTTCTTTTTTAATTAATTTATTTTATTTTATGTGTCCTGATGTTTCGTCTGCATGTTGTCTGCATGAGGGTGTTAGGTCCTCTGGAACTGGTGTCGTGAGCCGCCATGTGGGTGCTGGGAATTGAACTCAGGATCTCAGGAAGAATAGTCACTGATCTTAACCACTGTGTCATCTCTCCAACCCCACTGATACAGATTTCAATGACCTATTTTCTAAGTAGCTTTATTTCTCTGTTGTTACAGAGAAGAACCTTCATTCCTTTTACCCCCTTTCTTGTTCACCAATCCATCATCCATGTACCAACACAGCCATCTAGTTATCCATCTACTGCCTGTTTATACATCTATCCATCTATCTATCCACACATCCACTGACTCACCCACGTACCAATATAACCACCCATCCACCTGCCAGTCTGTTTACCTATCTATCCATCTGTCCATCCGTTCATCCATCCCTCCAACCATTCATCCATCCATCTTTCCAACCACCCGTTCTTTTCTTTTCTCCCACCCCTCTCCACAGATGGCCAGATTATGGTCAGCTTTTGAATTGTTTTCAGGAGACACAAGCAATATAGAAGTCAAATTCAGGCTGGTTGAGATTTTCTTGAGTACAGATTGTACATCAAGAGAGGGAAGTTGAGAACTCCAGATGGAGCCATCAAATCTGGGGCTCTGAGTGATTGCTAGTTTTACTTCAATAGACATGAGATCCTAATATCACCATTTGGGGTACAGTACTGAGGAGGATTGATCCCCTTTAGCTACTTTCCCCTTGATTGGGCATGGGGAGTACACCTGAAATTGATAAAACTCTTGGAGAAGACCTTTGAAGAAGATTTGGCAAGAAGATCTCCTTCTTTGTCCACGGTGAACAAGACTTCCTATGACATGAAAGGATGCTAAAACAGAATATGCAGAAAGGGCAGAAAAGAAAGGTTTAAATTCAAATTTAAGCTGGAAAAACCAGAAACAGCAAGTTAACTAAAGAGAACAGACTGAACTAGAGAAATGAGAACAGTGTGTGTGTCTGGGGGAGGGGGAGAGCTAATATCAATTATAAAACAAGCAGAGAGCTGTGAGCTTTTGGGTGGCACTGGGAATTGAACCTGAGTCTCCTGGAAGAGCAGCAAGCACTCTTAACTACTGAGGCATCTTCCCAGCCCCTCGCTCCCCCACCGACATCAGATCTCTTGTTTTTACCATACAGTATTAGAGACAGCCCTTATTCTCAGGTGCCTTTCCTCATCCAGTCTTGCTCCATCAAAGGCATTGTCTCCAACTCTACAAGACACGCAGACGTGCAGTTGGCACACCCTCCTCTCCCCTTTAGTTCAACAACTTCTTGCTGTTATAAGGATTCCATTCATTTTTTTTCCCTAAAGTTCGCACCTTCCTGTCTGCCTCTCTTGTTCTTCAAGACAATAGAATGTATAAAACGTTCTTAGTTATTTTGACTCCCTGGTTCTTCTTGTATCCTTTGCCATTTGTGTGGAACAGGGAGAGAGGCTTGTGACTCCTGTTTGGAAGAACCCGATTTCTAGGAGAAGAATATGTGGAGGCTTTTTTCATGTTGAAGTGGTGGCTGATGGGGAAAGACAGTGCCTTGCTCTACTCAAGCTTTGTATTACACAGTCAATGTCACTTTGATCCCTTGTCCTCCTTATTTTCTTATATTCCACAAGCTTCCTGGTTCCCACCTGAGCAAACTGAGGTCCCCCTGCATGGTTTGTTGTATTCTGGTTTCTTTTCAGCATCCTGTAGTCCTGGAAGTTCCCAAATGAGTGATGAACAGGCAGGGGAGATACCTAGATTCCCACAACGCATCGGAGGTAAGTGAGCCTTTATTTGCCAGTCAGCTAGTGAAACTGCAAGAGAGAAGGTGTCTTCACCTGTCCCCCCATTCCCCCCACTTATCCTATTCTTATATTCTCATAGAGAAGAAACCGTAGAGGCAGCAACGGGGGTCAGAAATAATGAGGAATGAAGTGTGCAGAAAAGCAACAGATTTTGGCCAATGTTCTGCCTCTGGTGGCAGAGGAGTCATGTCAGTCTCCCCTTCAGAGTCCCAAAACAGAGACCTTCATCTAGGAGACACTAAGCCAGCTTGACTCTCCTAGTTGTCACCGGTGGCTCTCCTACTTTGTTTTGTTTTTTTTTTTTTGTTTTTTTTTGTTTTTTTGTTTTTTTGGCCATTTGAATCCACTGAGTCTTCCATTCCTTTCTACAGAGGGAAGTAGTTCTTGTGAACAAATATTTGATCGACAAAAGCCCCAGGATGACAGACCCTCATCAGCACCAAGACCTGAAGCAGGTGAGCAAGGGGAGTGTGGTGTGGTCTGCAGGGTTCTGGGCACTAAACTCTGAGCTGGTGTTTCCTGCTGCGTTTGCTCTGCACACATTGTGATGAAGAGATGTTCATGCCCTGGCTATGGTTCTTTATAGTGCCCACAGCATTCTGGGAAAATTCAAGGAGAAAAAAAAAGTCTTGAGAAACATCATGAAGGAATATTATTTGTGGTAAGGTACTCACATATCAATTTAGTAGGAACCTGCGGGACCAGACAACACTCCTTGCCTTTGTCTTTCCACAGCCACTAAGACCACACTATATTGAATTCATAGGACAGTTTCTTGCTCTCATTTCTTATTCTCTATGGAAACTAAGAAGCTCATAACTTTTAACGTCTATGCAGGTTGATCATTGTTGTTGTGTTTTCATAAACTTGTAAAAGTGCTCAAAGAGGTTGGGAGAGTTTAACTCTTAAATGTCAGGCTCACAACCAAATATATATATGAGGAGGGCCCGCTTGTTCGTCCTGGCCACCCAGAACCAAAATAGTCACTAAAATTAAATCACTGCTTGGCCCATTAGTTCTAGCTTCTTTTTGGCTAATCTCTTATATATTAATTTAACTCATCTATTAATCTGTATATCACCACAAGGTGGTGACCTACCAGCAAAGTTTCAGCATGTCTATCTCTGGCAGCAGCTCCATAGCATCTCTCTCTCACTCTGCCTTCCTCCTCCAATGCTATAGGCCAAGCCAGTTTTCTTTATCATTAACCAATAAAATCAACACATAGACAGAAGTACTTCCCATACCATTTCCCCTTTTCTGTTTAAACAAAAAAGGAATGCTTTAACTTTAACATAGTAAAATTATATATAATAAACAGTTATCAAGCAAGAATTACAGTTACAATATTTATATCTACTTTATCTCTTACCATAACTAAGGAAAACTATATCTATTCTTCAGGTCCATCAAAGACTCTCGAAGGATATAATATTACCTAAGTAAACAGGAAGTTCATTGCAAGCAACTTCCAAAATTCTAGAATTGCTACCTGGACAGTCATCCAAAGTTCTTCTGTAACGCTGGAGCATCCATCTTCAGCCTACAGGCCCATAGTATCTGACAGACTTTTCCACGAAGCAAGAAATTTCAAATGCAGTTCTGCCTATATTGGCAGTTTCACAGTCACTTTCTTCTGTGTCCTGCAGAATGTCTGACAGACTCTTTCATGAGTCAGGAACCCTGAGGGGTCATCTCACCTTTAGGCAAGTTTAGCAGTTATTTCTCTATGGGTACTGCATGTCCAGGTCATTAAGCAGCCTCTTTGATGCCCATCTTCCTCTTGAAGTAGCTTGTGCTGCCAGGAGCAGAAGTGTCTCATTGTCATGAAAAATTCTAAGTTATTAAAACATTTTAAATGCCATATTCTGAAGGTCTCTGAAAGATTTGAAGAATACCTATCTCACTGAAATATATCTAACTGAAATGTATCTCTATACATATAGAAAATCTAACATGACTACAAGCTTGACTATTATAGATGAGTATTAAGTTATATTTCTTAATTATGCATTACATTTTTAAATTTTATGTGAACTACACATACACAATACCTTAATCAAAGGCAGAAATATACATATACAGTATAACAAAATTTACCTTAAATTTGTATCAATAAACCAAGAGCCATACCAAAGCAAATTATTCATCTCTATATCATATCCCTCTTTAAATGTAAACAAACAATTATGAACAATATTTGGGAATATGGGCATAGTTCTGTCCATACTGCTTCCTGCTGTTTGGAGGTCACTGTTAATCAAGTCTTTCATGGTGAATTCTATGTGCTAGGTTCATCTCAGTCAGCAGTTGGGTGAAGTAATTTTTGAGGGGTGTTTTAGGCAACCTTCAGGGTGTCTTGTTTCATCAGACCATACCAGTATGGAAGCAATCCAAAGGTTCTCATCCTCTGTGGAAACAAGAGAAGAACCTCTTTTCCAAAGCAACATATCCTTAGACCCAAATTTGGAAGTCATGATACCTTTATAATATACATGCTGATTTAGCTTAGCAGCCCATACAATGAAATGTCTCTCTGTACTTAGCTCATTCACAGTCAAAAAGTTCAAAGATAACACAATAACATACATAAATTCAGAGACTCTGTTTGACTTTTCATTTTTACATGATTTATTTTTCTTTACTGCTTTTAATCCATGCCTATCTGTACTCTCTCTTTAAAGATTTTACCCGTTTTTAAAGCATTAACTTTATTTTGTGACCCTCTGTACTCTTTTTTTTTATAGTGCTCAAAGAGGAAGTATTGTATCATCTGACTGATGTAATTTAATGAAACCCAAATCTATTCAATCAGTATTATTTGGGCACTTTCCCTACATTCTTTAACACACATGTCATCCTGCCTTCCCTTTATTCTTAAAACCCTTATCACTTTGTCAAGAAGGGAACTGTTATAGTTGTAATTCTCTAGAAGCACAGGAATCAATAAGTTTCTGGTATGTTTTAGAACTTGACAATGACAAGGAGATCAGAGGTCAAGTTTCCAGATGGTCTTACCTGGGCCTAGGTGGCTAGATTCTCATGATCTGAACCCAAAGTTTATGTCTTTGACTACTCAGGGGAGCGAGCCCGCAAGGGTCCAGCAGAAAGAGGTTTTTATTTAGCAAATAGGGTTTTTTAAAGAGAGCAGAAGAAAAAACATTATGGAGAATTACAAAGCATGTGAATAGTTTTATATGAGATAGTGGAGTCCCAGAAGGATAGCGCTAGAAACTATTAACACAAAGGCAATGTAAAATGTGGTGCATACTGAGGAGGTAAAGAAGACAGTAAACGTTAGGAAGAGAAAATCCAGAGAGCTAGTGAGAGGCACAAAGACCTTCCCAAGCAGCATTGAAAATGGAATTGCTAGGAGAAATAGCTACCACCTAGTGTTAACTAAGGAACAGCTATGCTTGTGAGTCCTGTTCTCTATGAGGCAGGCTGGGGCTGGCTGGGAGTGGGAAGAAAAGATTGTGTTCAAAGCACATGGCTCCTAGGCCACAGCTAGATTCACTTGGAGCTTTAAGAAGAAGGAAGCTCATTAAAGGGGGTAGGGGAGAGGCAGGAAGTGAAGCAGAGAAAAATGTAGAGCTCAATAAAAATCAATAAATAAAAGGAGAAGGTAGCTCAGGGGCTTAGACTCTACAAAGCAGAAGTGCTTAGCAAAGGCTGCTATGGAGACATCAACCCAGCATTTGGAGGGTGACTGCTGCTGATAGGCTGGATTTCAAATTTGTATCATTGCTTCTGATTGGCTAGATTTCAGAAGTTTGGTTAGTGATTAGGTAGTCACTGGCCAGTTTGGGATGGGTTTGAAACTGGTAAAACTAGCAAAAGTTATCCTTTACTATTTACAGAGAACAGTTTTATTTTTGTCACAGACTATAAGAACTTTGAAAATCTTTCAACGATATGTAGCAAATTAAAGGAAATTTAATTTGGAAAAATGGAAAATAATGTATGTTATGGAAAGAGATAGCTCCATTGGATCCTGGGTGTGACTGCTACAGCAGATTTTATTTGTTTTTGAGTTTTCGTTGTTTTTGGTTTGTTTGTTTCCCTAGAAAATAGCTCTCTCCTTCATTCAGAATCTACCTTGCTGTGCAGTCAGAGAGCAGTGGGGGCTCTTATCTGACACTGTCTCAGGATCCACGGACAGCAATGTTGTAGTTAGGGTTACTAGCCAGAATGCTCGATCACCGGGTGAAGAATGAAAGGGGGTAGGAGAGCTTGATTCTAGCCTGCTGTTCGATGACAGAGAAGGCAACTCTGTCCTAAAATAATCACAGAGATGCCATTCTGATAAAGGGGGGCAAGACAAGAGAGGAAAAAATAAAAAAGAGGAACTGAAAGTCAGACAAAAGGAGAATGCAGAAATATTTTGAAGGAATAAGAAAAGGCAGTGGTTCAGTTTAGATATAAAAAGGCCATGTGTCCGATGCTTGGAATGGCAATAAAAGACCCCAGTCAAGTGAGTTCAAAGTCATCCAGGAAAATTAGTTGGCACCATGTCTAACAATGAACACAAAGAAAACATGTGACAGCATAGCCCAGTGGTAGACTGCTTGCCTAGAATGGGTGAGGCTCTGAGTTTGGTACCCAGTATTGCAAAATTAAATAACAAACCAATACCTACAATTTTGGCACAGGAGCAGAGCGATCCACAAGTGGAAATAAGATGTGTTCCTGTGTCATGTGTCTCCCAGCAAAGGACCCAGAAGCAAGGATGGGAAGTAGCCAAGCAGGTAACTAATAGACAAGGCTGCACAAGGTTGTGGGTTAGGCATGGCTGAGAGAATGCCATAGCATCCAGCTTGTGGTCCAGTCCATCCCTGAATCCAGTTCTTTGCACTTGCCCACTTGGAGCTGGAGAGAAGCAGGAACCCTTTGCAGAGCCACATTTGAGAGGATGGAGGAGGTTGATCTCATGTGGATGAAGTAGAAGCAATGCATTCTTAAAAGTTACCTTGTCTGCTGCCTTGATGTATTGAATGGCACCAGTGCTTTCTTGCCACCCAAGACAGCAGGTAAACGTCTGCAGCTAGATAATGGAGTTGCTTTGTTAGGGCCTTAGGAAGGACCTGAACGAGTACTAGCTGCTGCTGGTGAGGAGGAATGAGTTCAGGCCAACTCTTCCCAACCCAGTGTGCATTTCCAGCCAGACTCCTCAAGCGTGTCAAAGAACTAATCAGGGCTTGCCCAGAAATTTCCCCACAAAATTAGTATTTAATCTGTGAAAAAAAATATGTTAAGATTTAAAATGTCCCATTGGGGGTGGGGGAGTCAAAAATGGCCAGCACCCTCCCTGGATTCCTAGTTCTCAGTTCAGCAGCCTTAGGTTCTTCTAGAAGGAGGAAAGGAATGACGGTTCGAACACAGATGGAAGCAAAGACTTTGCAGTATCCTAAGATTTGTAATTTCTCTTCATTATTTCTTACCTCATTGCCATTTATTGTTTTCTAGATACCATGGAGACTGGAAACAACCCTACTGTAGAAAAATCCAAGGGGAAGAGTGGTAAGGAAACAGATGAGAATTTGTGTGCCTTTGGTGTTGCTGATAAGTTATTTAGTGCTAGAATTATTATTGTTCTTGTGTGTGACAATGGGGTAGACTGTGGTGACCTCTCCTGAGTTCCTCCTTGCCCTTGAAACCTCTTCTCCTAATGATAAAGACCTTCTACACAAATGATCAAGATAAGGCCTTGTTTAGTGGGGACAACGTCTGACTGTTGGTGTAGGGTGACCACTCTGATTTTATGGGTCTGAAGAAGTGAACCTTCTTTAGGTGGTGGCATATGCCTTTAGTCCCAGAATTCAGGAGGCAGAGGCAGGCAGATCTCTGGGTGTTTGAGGCCAGCCTGGTCTACAGCACAAGTTCCAGTACAGCCAAGTTTACACAAAGAAGCCCTGTTGGGAAAAACAAAACAAAACAAAGAGGAGCCTTTCTTAGATGCAGAGAGACGAAATGGCTGTGGAGGAGTCGTCAGAAAGATGCAAGACTGAGGATGCAGGAAGGGACCAAGGAACTTGGGTGAACTTCAAGACGTGGAAGAGGTGAGGGAATAGGTTCTTCACGAGGAACAGATGAAGGGCTGGGGACACCTAGACTCGAGACTGGTGAGATCCAGGTCAGACACAGAACTGACATAACTCTTAAATAAACCCGTGATGTTTAAAGCTACTGAATGTTTGGTAATTTGTTCTCAGAGAAGTAAAGAGTCGTACATATTTTGGAGTAGTGAGGAATTATGTAATAGTCTTCATGACAGTGACAGACCACATGTATGAGAGTGGTCTCATAAGATGGCTTTACTGTGTAGGGTTGCAGCTGACTTAGTCTGTAAGTACATTGATGATCTCACAGTGAGAAGATTCTAACAACACATTTCTCAGGACGCACCCCATTGGTAAGCAAAGAATGAGTTTTCTGGAAGTGAGATGTAGCCCTTACATAGTCATAAATATTCAGAAGTAGTATTGAAGTTAGGCAATGAGGAGAGACTAAAGAATTTGTTTGTCATTTGTCTTTTTTTGACAGGGTTTCACTGTATAGCTCTGGCTGGTCTAGAGCCTGCTGTATAGACAGATCATGTTGGCCTTGAACTCATAGAGATCTGCTTGCCTCTGCCTCCTGAATGTTAATATTAGGGGAAATCCTCACTCAGTTTCTGGGCCCTTGAGGAGTAATTTCAAATTAGAAAAGTCTTAGAATGCCCCAAGCAGTGAATTCAAAGACTCAGGAGGAAGTGACAAGTGCTCTGGAGAAAACCTACATTCATTCAGTTTATATCCTCTTGATATTTGATCACATGGTCATTAACCAGGGCTCAATGTTCTTTGCAGTTCATATTTAAGATAAAATTTATAGTGAAAGGCCCAAATCCTAAGTACACCCTTTGATGAATCCTGCTAACTGCATTATTTTTACAAATAAGTCTTATGGCAGGGCTGGAGAGATGGCTCAGTGGTTATGAGCACTGGCTGCTCTTCCAAAGCACCTAGATTCAGTTCCAAGCACCCACATGGCAGCTCTCAATTGTCTGTAACTCCAGTTCCAGGGGATCTGACATGTTTGCACCAATGCACATAAAATAAAGTTAAATAAATTATTTTTTAATAGTCTTATGGAGACACAGAGCATAAACAGGAGCCTGCGAAGGTTCTCTGTGTCCTTTCCGCCCACTACCCATCAAGGCAGCCACTTTTTGTTCAAAGATAATTTAGGTTGATTTGTAAGTACTTTATAAGTAGGATTTTCCCAGCATGCTCTTTGCTGTGAAGTTTCCCTCCCTCCATAGAATGACTTTGCTATTAACTCACAGTGAGGTACGCAGTGCCAGTTGGCTCTTTTTATTGCTAATGAGTATATACATTGTCTGAATAGCTCTAATTTGTTTGTGTGTTCTCTCCGACGTTTCCTGCTTGGGATACTATGACGAGGCTGTTAGGAGCATCCTTGCAGAAGCCTCTCTGAGGCCATGTGCTTTCATATTCTTACAGGGTAGATGTCTTCTTGTCCCTCTGCCAAGATCCACAAGGACTGTGATCCGAAGCAGGCTATGTAGATGCTGCACACATAGGTCTATGTGGGGACAAAGAGCATGGCATGCCCAAAGTCCCTGTCTTATAAGGCAACGGTGGCAAATGTGACCTTTTCCCTGTGGCATCTAACAAAGTTGATAAAGTATAATTTCTGATTGTCTCTGACATCTCTAAAGTTAAACTCTCTGTTTCTGTAAGGGGGAGTATGTGGAATGTTTGGCCTTCACACAGGTCCTAAAAAAGAAAACATGTCCCTAAAAAGGCACGTTTATAATAGTTGGGCTCCTCTAAACAAGAAATTCTGAAATTACTGAGTGCGAACGAGAACAGATCATGAGGCACACAACAAAACTCATTTTAAAAGTTTAGAGAGAGAGAGAGAGAGAGACAGAGAGAGAGAGAGAGAGAGAGAGGTGCACAGGCCTGAGGAAGTTGGTGCAGGAAGAGAGCATGGGGCTGGCATGCCGGGCAGTTAAAGACTGCCTAGCACATGCGCACATGGACTTACGTAGTTGAGGCATGCATAAATCACTTGACCATGCTACACATAGGTCACGTAGGGCTTGAGGGCCTTGGGTGGCTATGTAAGTTGCTTGAGCTCTTGATGGCACATGCACGGCCCAGAACCTGGAAATACCATCACTTGAGGTGGCTAAGCATTTGTCAAAGTGCTACGCGATGGAAATGATGACATTTCACCTTTTTGTTCATTATAAAAATTTGGGAGGGGTTAGGAGTGTGGAAATGGGGTGTCGGATCTCTCGAGGCTACTTCCTGCTGGCTGGTGGGTGTCAGAGAGTTGGGGTGCTTGGCCACGTCTTGGGGTAGTTGGTTACTTCCATGTTTTCCAGGCCTTGTGTAACTGTCTGGCTGGCAGCTTGAACCTGACAAGATGCTGGCCAGGTAGAATATTGTGTTTAGAAAAATTTTGATCCTGGTGACTAACGGAGGAGGGTCCCAAGATGGAGGATAGAGTGGGGTTCCCCAGGGTTCCCAAGATGGAGGAGAGAGTTTCCCAGGAGTCCCGTAACCAAGGAAGAGTTAAATGATTCTTATCCTAGGTGATCAGGGAAGAGTTAAATGATACCCTGGGCCAGTCTGGTCTGTTCAAGTGGGTCCTGCTCAATGGGTCCTTTTGTATAAAAAGGTACCAGGTATAGGTGGCCTGAAGCAATGTGCCTTCCTGTATGTGTGAGGGGTGGGGCAGTAGTTCCTCTAAGGTTTCCATGCAGGAATGAGACGGGGGAATAGTTAGTATTAGGTTGAAGTAGGAGATTTGAGATAACAAGGGGTGGGCAGCATTGGAAAGTGAGTGCAGCATCTTCCACTAGAGCCACCTGGATGGAAAGAGCTTGGGAAGGAGGTAAAGTTTGTAAGCCTTGGTAAGTTAAGAGATGGGACAGATTGTAGTGGTAGAAAATAGTGATGGGTGACCCAAAGGTTAGTTTTTTTGACTTATGATTAAGGAGCTCAGCAGCTGCTAAAGCACATTTGCAGGGTGCTCAGCCCCCAGTGGTAAGGTCTAGCTTCTTTGACAGGTACGCTATAGGCACAAAAGAAGGTCCCAACTGATGCCCTAGAACCCCAAGGGCATATCCCTCCTTTTCTGTTACATAGAGGGAGAAAAAATGAGTTAGGTCTGGGAGATGGAGAGTTGGGACCTGGATAAGGGCTTGTTGAAACCTCTGGAAGGATTTAATAATGGGATCGGGGAGGGGCTCATTCGCAGAACTAAGACCATCTTCATATATGGGGTGGGCAAGAAGAACAAAAGAGGGGATCCAGGAACACAAGAAGCCAGCTGTTCCTAGGAACGATAAAATCTCCTCTTTTGTAGAAGGGACTGCAAGAGACTGGATTAGTTTTTTCCTCTCTAAGGTAATAGCTTTTGGGGTTGGGATAATAGTTAATCCCAAGACTATGACCTGAAAGATAGACAGTTGGACCTTAGAAGGTGAGACTCTCTAGCCCTTTTTGGACAAGAAATTTGAAAGAGCAGAGATATTAGTTTGGCTGATCTCTAGGGACAGACTGCAAAGTAAAATATCATCTACGTACTGTATGAGTTTAAAATTGGGGAGAGACAATGAAAGTAGACCAGAAGCTAAAGCTTGATCAAATAGATGTGGGCTGTCCCGAAATTCCTAGGCAGGACAGTTCAGGTGAGTTGTGTGGAGAGGTGAGTGCTAGGGTCAGTCCAGATGAAGGCAAAGTTATCTTGAGATTGAGAGCTAAGAGGAATAGAGAAAAAAGTCATCTTTGAGATCCAGAACTGAAAAATGGGAGGCTCCTGGAGAAATAGTGGAGAGAAGTGTGTAAGGGTTTAGGTACTACAGGATAAAGTGGGACCACTGCAGAGTTAATGAGCATGAAGTCTTGAACAAGGCGATAGGCTCTGTTAGACTCTTTAACAGCAAGTATAGGGGTGTTAAAAGGAGAAGAACCGGGGTGAAGTAGCTTAATTCTTAGAAGGTCAGAGATGATAGGTTTAAGTCTCCTAAAGCTCTGGAGTTAGAGTGGGTACTGAGTTTGGGTAATGTACCTGGTAGGATCCTGTAATTGGATAACAATGGGGGAATGGTGTCTAGCAACAGACGCGTTTTGTGTGTCTCAGACTTGGGGTTTTACCTGAGAGGCTGGTAGAGGAAGAGATACGTTGAAGCTGGGAGGTTGGGAGGCTAGGAGGAGAAGGAGAGGAGCTGCTGGCGAGCCTGGGGTGAGGTGAATGGGAGGAGCAAACAAAATAGAAGCTCCCACTTCAGCTAAAATAATCTCTTCCCATAAGAGGTCCAGGGTAAGTTGGCATGCCTAAAAATGAATGAATGAGAGGAATGCCTTTGAAAATGCAATTGTGTGGTGGGGTCTGATGAGTTAGATAATGCTGTCCTCCTACCTCAATAATAGGGAAAGTAGAAGGAGATGTGGGTACCCCAAACTCTCTAAGTACCAAGTATGGGGCTCTGGTATCCAAGAGAAGGGAGATGGCCCATCCTGATACTGTGATATTTACCCATGGCTCCCTATTACACACGACAGTCGTGGTCGGGTCAAGGGAGCCTGGGCAGCCTCAGTCATCCAGGGCCAGACTGAGAAGGTTGGTTTGGGAGTTATCTGGGTCTGATGTCTCCATTCCATTATGTGCATGAGGACAGTTGATCACCCAATGTCCTTCCCTATGGCACTTCAGACACAGTCTTGTTGGACCAATATGAGGATTAGGGCATGCCCAGGCCCAATGCCCCGTTTTACCACATTTAAAACATGGGCCCGGTGGCTCTTGAGCCCCAGGGTGCAAGGGAGTGGCACAGGCAGGATGGTCAGTTGCCTAAGCCGGTCAAATGGTCTTGGCCAGCATTTGACATTTCTGTCTACGGTTCTTATCATGCCTTCCATGGCATACCTTAAAAGCCAGCCCTAAGACTTCTGCCTGTGGGATATCAAGGGGCCTTTATCCAAATAATTAAGTTTAGACCTAATGTTGAGGAAGCTCTGGGAAAAGAAATGGGTTATGAGGAGCTGTTTGTCCTCTGGGGCCTCTGGATCTAAATTAGTGTACTGCAAGAGAGCCTTTGTGATGTGCTCTAAGAATGCAGATGGATTTTCATTTGGGTCCTGAACAACATCTAAGAGTTTATCATAGTTTACTGGCTTGAGGGAAGCCTTAAGGAGATGCACCAGGAGGCAAGTTGTAAACTAGCCTCTAGCTAAAATAGTACCTGGGGTGTTATAATCCCAGTGTGGAGCCCACTCAGGGATGGCTTCTGCCCCAGGGAGGTGTGCTGCATTAGTCTGGTGAACCTCATCTGCATGTACTCTGGTCTGCTCCCAAACTTGCCTGTGCTTCTCAGGAAGTAGGTTATTAGTTAGGATCATGAAAATATCATGAAAGGTGTGACTATAAGATTGAGTAATGTATTAGAGTTGTTTTATGAAAGAGGTAGAATTAGATGTGTAAGACCACAGTTTTTGTTCTACGTGAGAGAATTCTGAGAGCGAGAAAGGAACGTATGCCTCGACCATTCCATCCACACTGGCTACCTCTTGCAACAGAACTGCTGCTGGTTGGTTTGGTCAGGGTCGGGTCCCTTAGCAGCACGCGAGCTGTGAGAGGAGGGGTAAAAGTGAGTGCTAGAATCGGGGCAGCTGCCGCAGCATGGCACTGGAGAGGAGGAAGGATCCAGAGGGGCTAACGGAGCAGTTGATGGAGGAAAGAGAGAACTGGAGAGGTAGAAGTAGCTGTCTGCTGAGGTTGGAAAGGTGGGGGTTCATTAGCAGGGTCCAGAGTGGAAATGGGGTATTCCTGCAGCTTAGATGGTATAGTCAGGAACATGTGAGCAGGTGAACAGCTTGTAAGGACAGAGGGCTTAGAACTTAGATAGAAAAAGACTTGGATATAAGATAACTCTTTCCATCTTCCTGTGCGCTGACAAAAGTTAGAAAGTTCCCTCAGAATATTGGGATCTAAGGTACTGTTAGGTGGCCACTTTAGGTTATTATCTTATGTGTACTTAGGGTATTTCTTAGTATAAAGGCAGATAATCTTGGGAATCTGTGAGTAAAGCATGAAGAATTGAGGTTTTAGGGTCTCTAAAAGACATCCCAGGGAGGAAGGTGGACTGATAGTTTTTGAGGGTTTATTTCCCATGGCTAAGAATGTGAAAAAGGTGAGGACCCAATAGCAATTAACCATGAACATCTTTGGGATAAAGCGAGGGTTAAGGGCTAGGTCAAAGTCAATTTGATACCTGTCCATACAGGAATTAAGGACTGGATAGAACCACTCTGAGTGGCCCGAGAGAGGACAACAGTCAGAGAGATGAGGACAAAATTCAAGTGGTGAGGAGTCAAATCTCAGTCCTTAGCCAAGGGGAATAACCAGGGATGAATGTCAGCGAAGGGCTTAACCATAGCCTTGAAGGTTCCCCCTCGTTTCTTGGAACACCATAAGGTTGCCGGGAGATCAATGGTTAAGTCCTAGGGTTCAGACAAACAGTTAAGCTGACCAGAAGGGAAAAAACTCACCGATCAAAGCCACTGGATACTTGATAATTCCTTATATCATGTTAATGAAGTCTGTTGCCTTCTCCCTCCCCTTTTGGAGTGAAGTGTATAAACATGCAGAAAATAAATAAATTCTTCCTGGTGCTTTTATTTCTTTCATATCTCTGTTCCTTTTGCTCGGTAATTCTAATCCTCATGCTTCTACCTTGGAATGTGTGAATTTCATTGAGGCTGGACCACCATGAACCCTCACATGACTAAACTGGTTGTTAGAGTTTTTCCTCATTTCTAAGATCTGAAATTTGAAAACAGTATCTGAATATGGCTGACATATAAGGCTTAGAGAATTACACTTATATCTTTGAATAATTAATTTTATTATTTTTGTTTTGTAGGAGAAAAGAAAGCTCACAACTTGTCAAGAGTAAAACAAAGAAGGCCACAAACTGTACGGCCAAAAAGTAAGCAAGCAGCTGGACGGAGTTACAGCTGTTGAGTTTTGTAAGGTGTTGTCCATTGCATGCTTGGAGACCTGTGAGTTTCTGAGCCTTAGTAGTGTGTGTGTGTGTGTGTGTGTGTGTGTGTGTGTATGTGTGTTGTATTTACACTGGGCATATGGGTACACATACTTGCACCTACAAGTATAGGCCTGAGGAGGATATTGAATGTCCTGCTCTCTCTCTCTCTCTCTCTCTCTCTCTCTCTCTCTCCTTTATTCCCTTGATGGTTGTCAGCCAGTAAACCCCACTGAGCTTCTTGTCTCCCATCCCTTAACACTAGCATCATAGGTGCACACATACATATTTTTTAAGTGGATGCTGGTATCTGAACTCAGGTCCTTATGTTTGAACACTGGTGGCTCTTAGCCCCTGAGTAACCTTCACCCTCCCACAAAAGGTTTATGTAGGTCGTGTTCCAAAGAAGGTTTAATGAAGCAAACAGGTTGCAGGTGTATATGTGCAAATGTGTGTATGTGCCCCACCTATTCATTCTCCTGCCTCGCTATGGGCTGTTCAGCTCTTTATTAGACCAATCAGTTGTTTTAGACAGGCACAGCAACACAGCTTCACAGAGTTAAACAAATGTAACATAAAAAAATGCAATACATCTTTGCATCGTTAAAACAAATGTTCCACAGCACAAACTAATGTAACACATCTGAAAATAATATTCCGCAGCATGAAACCATTCATTTTGTTTATAAATCCAGGCCTTTCAATGTAACTATTGATCTGTCTAGAGAGGGAGATGTACGTAGATATAGAAAAATAATCGACAGTCCATTTTCACAAATGTTCATTGAAGGGCTGGTGAGACGCTCAGTGGTAAAGTGCTTGCTACACAAGTTTGAGGCCCTGAATTTCGATCCCTAGCACCCACATAAAAAAATGACATGATTACACATCTGCAATCCTTCACCATTGAATCCATCAGGTTTGCTGAACAGCAAGCCTAGCCAACCAAACTGATGAGTTCTGGTTTTGGTGTCAGATCTTGTCAACAGTTAAGATGGAGAGCCACTGAGGAAGACGCTTGACTTTGGTATCTGGGCCTCCACACATACATACAGAGGAACACAACGTGTATACATTTGTATGCAAAAATGCATGCACTGGTTATATTTGGCTATTAGAATAGAAGTGATGTCCATATTTTTATTTGTGTTTAAAATATTGAACATGATCAACTTTTGTCATTAGAGGAGAGAGAGAGAGAGAGAGAGAGAGAGAGAGAGAGAGAGAGAGAGAACAATCAATCTTAGAAGATTTTTGAACAAGTTAATCATGGTGATGTTTTCTACAATCTTATTCCTATAACTTGTATATATTTACAAACAGTACCCTACCATCCGATTTTAGTAATGGTCTAAGGGATTCCTTCTTGATGGACAAAAGCTAAGTGTCTTTTTCTAAATGATTATCAATTTTGCATCAGATCCATGAAATTGGCTTTGGAATCCCATTCAATATTTATTTCACCAAACTAAGAATCATACACTCTTGACAATGACCCAGCTGTGCTCTAGATTGATATGTATATTTTTTTGTTTAGAAAGGACAAGTGGTGGTTTTGTCTATCTTTTTGAATACATATTTTGTAAACCACATTTTTATTCAAGTCTCTGTGTAGACAGATTTCTTTCTAATGTGTTAATACAACAGAATCCTTCACAGGCTTTAACTTTGACTTCTACTTGCTTAGACACAGCTCCTTGTTGTGAGCTCTCATCCACAGTGTGTTCAGAAAGTACTCTGACTTAACAGAGTGGCCTCCCTTGCTACTTCCCGTTTTCAGTTGTTGCTTTGCTCAATCTGCATTTGTCTGTATCTCTCCTAGATGGCAGCAGAGTTGGTCGCCAGGCTGTCAGGAGAAAGAAAACGAAAAAGAATCCAGGCCGTTCTGCCAAGACCAGGGGTAAGATGGCCTCTGGGGGTCTTTCCCTACACCCATGAGTGCACACAGACTTTGTTAGGATTTGGGGAAAATCTAAAGCCTTAAAAATTTCTACTCAGGCTTATCTATCAACTTGAGAGCAGGAAAATCTCAAAGCAAAGTTGTTTGGAGCAAGACTGTGAACTGTATTTATATCATCAATATTATGTGTCCTAATTTCTTCCTTACCTTTGAGTTGGTCTCTTAAAGGCTATTGGCTGAAGGAGTGGAAAAAGCCCCTACAGCACCACACATTGATTATTAAAATGTCTAGACTTGGTGAAGTATAAGCAGAAAGCAAATGTTCTCTCTCATAGCCCTTTTCCTCCTCCCTTTGGGTGAGTTCTTTTTAATTTTGAGCAGACCATGTAACTTCCCAGTTCCTAGAGCTGGAATGGAGGATGGACGGCTGCAGGGAAAAGTTTTCCCAGTGGGCTATGGGTGTGGGCTGTCAGAAGGAGAGAGAGGAAGGAGGTATTCTCAGGCATACTTTACCCTTCCAGAGTCCTGGTGACATCCTGGGTAAGAGGGAGGAGACTCCCTTGGAAAGTTGTTCCTGAGTGGAAGCCCTTCTGTTGCTGGTGCTCCCACCATGTACAGAGAGGAAGCAAGGGCATTAGTTTCCATGACAGCTTTATGTAGCTGAACTAACCACGGAGACACTGCCTGTTACTCACTGTCTCTGAGAAACTAGAATCGTGATGATACAGCTGAAAGAAGACCAAGAGCTCTGGGCCACGGTAATGCTGCCTCCATTCACCGGGAAGAGTGGAGACAATCTCTGCCATACGCGGGGTATCACCCACCAGTGAATGCACATCAAGGTGGCCCAGAGTGGTGGGAGAGACCTGGGTCCAAGCCTTCTCTTCTATGACTACATGGACTTCGGCCTATCCCTGGGCTCTTCTTTCCTCAATTTCTCCATTACTAAAGAGGAGGGTGATTTATGTCAACCATCCGATGTCCATTGTAGTCTTGATCAGCTACTGCTCAAATAGTATCAGCATCACAGACAGTTCTCCCCTCCCACACCACGGTCTCTGCACTGATGACAGGCAGGGAAAATGTAACTCCTCATCTCTCCGAAATTTGTTTGAGGAATTTTCATCTCTATTTTCTATGGAGTTGCAGCTCTGCTCTACATAAGAGCTTTCAGATTATTCTAGAACTTTTGGGGGTTCTCTCTGTTACAGACAGAAAATGCTGTTGTGAGGGAGAGGTGGAGCAGAGCAGACAGAAAAGGAATTCCACCCAACTCTGCTAGGTTGCCCATCATCTCTCCCTTCTAGTAGTCCAGTCAGTGCTCAAATGGGGGAGATTAGAGGACCATCTCTGCCTACCATCGTTAGTACAATAGAAGAGTCAGGAAGTGCCTATTTCATGGCCATGTAGCCATCAGAGTGAGAATAAGGACAGTTTATCAAAGCCAAAAGTCTCTGGTAAAGCTTGTTCTTTTTAAAAATATGTTAGAGGTAAAATATTTGTCATTATGTATCCAATATGCCACTTGCAAAAAGGACTTAGAAGTTAGAGATCTGAGGAGCGAAGTGTTCCTAGTGTTAAAGGAATGACCCCAAGAGAGAAGAGGGAACGTGCACACCTGCAAAGAGACAGAAGAAGAAATCTTCTTTTTTTCCAGTTCCGAAAAGGTGCAGAAATAAAAATGCAGGTTTCAGTGCTGAGCTGCTTCCCGTGACATGTGGTAACGTGAAGGGAACATTACACAAGGATAAATTCAAGCAAGGTAGGTATCGTGGATTTTTTTTTCACAACTGCTAAATAAAAACATCACAAGCAATAATGGAATTACTTAAGGAACTAGAAGAATTGGCTTGAAAACAGGAAGGATCCTAATGCTTGAAGAAACCATGCCTAGTAGATGCTCGCAATAACATGTATGGAGCCATGATGCCCAGAGAACCAGAGAAACTTCCATTAAGAAATGGAAGCTATTGCATATTTTCCTCCCAGTCAGACATAAATGGGGAGGGACCCTCAGCCTCTACCTCCACATCCCTGTGTCAATAGCACCAGGGCAGGGCACTTGTCATGGTGAGAGCATCACAGGATTGAGAATCAGAGAACCCAAGATCTAGACTCAGCTTTGCCAAGAGAGGAGGTCTCTTTGTGTAGTGTGGGAAGGACTTTCTTGGCATGAAATTCCTCATTTTTAAATAGAGTACAATAATATAAAGCCTGACCCATAGTATATCCACGAGGATTAACTTATATTATTGGTATAACATATTCTGGTTTGCAAAAAAAGAAAAAAATAGACAGCCCCCCCCCCAAACCATAACCCACTATGATGGACTTCATCTCAGATCTCTTTTATTATGAGCCTGTGGATGGCAGTAGATATAAATACATTGTCACTATTTTTAACAGCTTTACTGAGTTATAATTCATATACCATATAATTCAGCACTTGGAGTCTATGATCATTAAGGGTTTCTTTTTTTGGTACACAGAAGAAAAATTACCGTGCAAACATATTTGTCCCCCTCTGTCTATTAGGAGTTGATACTCATTCCTAGTTCCTTCTACCGAGCATTCACCCAGCTAATTCCTGGCCTATAAATCTGCCTCCTTACACACTTCATACAAGTGACATGCCTTAGCGTATGGCACTTGTGACTGCCTGCTTTCACTTAGCATGATAACATCAAGCCTCATCTGTGTAGTTTATGCAATATATGCTTCAAATCACAAATAATGTCATATTCCATTGTATGATTATTTCATGTTTCCCTCATTTATTCAATTTGCCTCATTCTGCCTTGGGTTATAATGAATAATGCTGTTTTGATAATTTGTGTATACCATTTATGTGATATAAACACTGAGTTTGAGGCACATACACAGAAGTGGAATTGCTGGGTCATAGGATGATTATATGTTGAACTCAGTTATGAATTACCAAATGTTTTTGGTATCGGTTACATTGTTTTATATTCATATCATCAGTGTGTGAGACCTTCAACTTCCCTACAGTAAATAGCTACTATTTCTTGTTTTTTGTTACGGTCATCTTGGTGGTATGTAAAATGGTGTTGTGATTTTGCTTGCATTTTCATAACAATGAAGATGCCCAAAACATAACTATTTTTTTTATTAACCATAGTCTGTATTTTCATCAGACAATATTTACTTTTGTTAATAGTACTTACCTCCAACTGCAGTGATGGCCAAGCACCTGTTCAATAGTCTCATAAATTTGGTTAGACAATGATGCCACAGAACTCCCGAGTTGCAGAATCCAGCTGCAGCCTCAGCTCTAAGATGAGGACTCCACCTCCACCTTGCCGGGGGCCTCCTGGGACGGGTTGTTCTCCAGCCTGAGAGATCAACACCAGGTTGAAATCCACGCACCCTGAGCAGTCAGTCACTACCTTGTCCCTTTCTACATGACCCTGAAACAGTTTTAAAAAGATATCTATTGGTGGCAATTGTCATTTTCTTCACGCATGAAAATCAAAGAAGCATGAAAGGCTTCAACAAAGCCCTTTAGGGAACTCCAGGGCTGAGCTGGGACTCCTGAAGCCAGAAAGAAGGCCAACTCTATTGACTTTGAGCACACTTTGGGTGGTTCCAATTCCAGTGTGGGCCATGAATCTGAGCTCCAGGGACAAAGCAGGCTCATGATCAGTCTACTGCGGTCTTACAGGGATCTTCGTGAAGTCCATACAGAGTGAAGCTGGGGGCTGGTACACACCCACTGAGTTTGAAAACTTGGGAGGCCATGGACGATCAAAGAATTGGAAATTGAGTGTGCGCTGCTACAAGCGGCCCCTGAAATTCCTGATCCAGGTATTGCAGTGGAGGGGGGAGGGGGGTCAGTGCCTCTTCTTACACTGTTTATGGATCAAATAGCTATGAGATATGGGGAATCCCTAATGCCCATAAGGTTTGCCTGTCACTCAGGAGAGAGGCAGCCCATATTCATAGCCTCATTTCTGGAGGTACACCTTGCTGATGCTGACAAATGATAGATACAGAATCTCTAAGAAGGAAATGGCAATTCTTGGTTGGGGTTCTTGAAGAGAAATTTCTGCATTGAAGCCAAAGGAGGAGTTGACGGCCAGACAAGTGAAAGAGAATCTAGAGAAAGGACTGCTAGCAAAGGCAATTGTATGGATACAGGAGATGAATAATGTGTCATAAATCATCAACTCAGGATGTCTGTGCAGGAACTTAATGCCATCCTAATGACCTCAAATTTGAAACATTGACAAGGAATTAGTGATGTCCTTGAGGTTAGAAATTGCAGATGAAATGTATGATCATCATTGTCACCATTATTTGGTGTGAAGGGGCTGAACTCAGGGCTTCAACTAAGCTAAAAAAGACATCAGCTCTCTGCTAACCTCAACCTCTGGTTCTACTTTGCTTGCTGTGTTACTATGATAAACATTATGACCCAAAGCAACTTGGGGAAGGAAAAAGTTTATTTGGTTATAGGCAGCAGTCCATCATGAAGGGAAGGCAAGGCAGAAACACAGGGCAGAAATATGGAGGCAGAAACTGAAGCAGAAACTACAGAAGAACTGGCTTGCTCCTTGGTTCATGTTCAACTGCTTTTCTTATTCAGCTTAGGCCCACTTATAAGTGATGGCACCACCCACAGTGGGCTTGGATTTTCTGTATGAATCCACAATGAATAAAATGCCCCCACAGACATGCCTAAAGGTTATCTGAGACAGACAGTTCTTCAGTTGACATTTGCTCTTCATAGGTGTGTCAAGTTGACAATCAAACTAACTAGGACACATCTGCAATGCTGTTAGTAATGGACCATCATGGACATGATTTCCTCATCTCCCTATCCTTCAAGCTAGTTTTTTTCCCTAGAATTCTTAGCTTAAATATCTCACCTCTCTTGACTGGGCCCTCACCTCCCAGAGACCCTTCTTAAACTGTTGGAGATTAGAGATTGATTCTCTGTGCTGATGGTTGTGGCATACTCTTTAAATCCAAGCACTCCTAAGTCAGAGGCAGCTGGATCTCTGAGTTCAAAGACAGTCTTGTCTGCACTGTGAGTAGGTTGCCAGACCTCCACAGAGAAGCCCTGTCTAAAAAGAAGAGAGAGAGAGAGAGAGAGAGAGAGAGAGAGAGAGAGAGGGAAGAGGAGGAGGAGGAGGAGGAGGAGGAGGAGGAGGAGGAGGAGGAGGAGGAGAGGAGAGGATGTGTTTCTTCCACAAACTTTCTCCATTATCTCCCATAACCAAATTTCTGTCATGTGCTCCAAATTCATCAGAACATGTGACACCCTATATGCATGAAACACATGTCTGTTAACTGCCTAGTCCTGTGGAACTAGTTCCTAGTGGAACACTAGTTCCTAGTGGAACAAGTTGAATTGTGTCCCGTGGGAACAGAGAATGTGTAATGGTTGAACAAGGGATTGTGAGGAGAAATTCTCAGCACTTGAGGAAGAGGGATATGAGGAGGTCTTTCCAGCTGCCACAGGCCAGCATCTCTAAGTTGTATGCGATGAGAGGGGAATGGAGTTGGACAACGTGGGTCTGTATGGAAGATCCAGGCAGAACTTCTGGAAGGAGACTGACAATTCCCAGTGCACACTGCTGAAATACAGATAACTACATGCTCGATCCTTCTATCTTGCAGAAAAAATTTCTCCCCAATTTTCCACAAACTTATGGCAAGAGAAAAAAGGTGAGTTCTCATCATGTGGTTTTACTCACAAAACTTTTTAATTTTATGGTGTCTTGGTTAGGTTGTCATACTTAAAATCACCTCTCCTTCCTTCCTCTACTACTTCTTTTCTGGTTTTCAGCCTGTGTCTTCACTCAGGCTGTGTGTAAGGCCAGGTCTTCCTTTGAGCTGGAGATGATAAAAAATCACCAACATAGGCTTCAATAGGCCATGAAACACTCCACACTGGGCTTCATAGCTCACTGAAAATTTGAACTTCAGGCCTGTATATTATTTGTCATTTGCATTATTGTCTGACTGGTTTGGACTCTGAACCACTGGGACACATCAATCACTCAGTTTTCTTGAAGGAAACTAACTCCTAACCTGGTCAATGACTACTTTAAAGTCCATATTCTCTACCTTCCTCTAAATTCTAAGAGTATCTCTTTTTGAATCACTCAAATGAGCTAGAATTGTCCAACCCACAGAACCATTTTTAGTCCTGGATGCAGTGTTTCATAACAACAGGGGCACTTGCCTCTTCTTTTGAGCCTCAATTTGTAAGAACAGGATTCTCAGAGAAACAGAAGCCACAATCCATTTCCACTTTCATAAGCCTCACAGAGCTTCTTCACCTGTTCAGAGTCATGGGTTCTGGAATCTTCCTTGTTACTCTCGGTATCACATGACAACTTCCCAGCTCTTCCAGGACCATTTAACCTTTCTGGTGGTGGCTGATGTGTGTCAGACAGTCTGGTATGGTTTCCAGAACCATCGTTTCTGTATGCTAACATCTGCATTGAGACACCTGAATTCTCTTTTCCCAAGCGAAGCCATGTTTACTCATCTTTTAATGCACAATTGCTAACTATACACAGAAGACCCATGGACTGGACAAAAGATAGAAACAGTAGCCCTGAGGGACCTCAAGGATTGTGTCCAAGTCATTGTCCACATTACAGAATAACAAACAGTGCGGCCTGGGAGACTCTAGAACAGTGGACAGTAAGAGCGCCCTTCTCAGGTGATTGTAACGCAGATCCTGCTTGTTTCCAGCTCTCGGCCCTGGACTGGGGTTAAGGGTTGAGATGGCCTGTGTCACAGAAGGGAAGACTGACAAATCTTTCCAATGAATGTGCAAAACAATGTGAAGTCCTTTTTTTGTGTCTAAATGTGCTGCTGGCCTACCTGCTCTTTGAGTTGTGAATAGAGGGCGGAAGGCCATTAAGAGAAAGCTGCAGCCCTGAGTGCCTTAGGTTCATTTGATTTTCAGGGCTATGGCCCATGGAGAGCTACAGAAGGTGATAGATTTCCTCTCTAGGATCACCCAGACCCCAGAACTCGTTGAGCCTTATGTGTTCTGGGCTATGATTGGTCTATCACAGCTTCAGGCTCACCTCAGCTGCTCTGAGGTGAGGTGCTGGTGGTCATGGCTGATACATCCTGGATGGTCAAATTGAAGAAAAAAATGGCCGAGAGCCATTAATGTTGGAGGACAGGTAGAATTGTTCAAACCAGCCTATAGAAACCAGACGCTGCCTCTTTGCCTGACTCCAAAAAGGCATCCTGAGGACCAAGAGCCAGGAGGTGGAACTCGCTTTAGGTCCAACAATAGTTTGACATCATCTCTTTCTCTGAAGAGATACACAGGTCCATAAAAATAGGTATGGAAAAGAAGTAGATATATTTAAGAGAAACCCTCTAGACAGAATGAATTATACCAATATTTTCAATCAAAGAATTCAAGAGTGAGAACCCTCTGTCAAGTGGGAGGGACCATGGGAACCCCCTACAGGTGCGTGAGACCATGGCTTCTAAAGGCTGAGGTGAAAGTGAAATTGAGAAATACTTTGGAGTGGTCATGATCAAAAATCCTTAGTGGGAGATTAGGTGCTGGCCTTATGAGGCTGAAGCTGATTTTGCTGTTGGCATTAAGCTTTAATTTGTTAGATGGGAATGCTTGAGCTGTTCCTATCAAGTTGATTCTTAGTAATAATACTAATTTTAGCCAGGGATGATGGCACATGCTTGGAATCCCAGCACTCCATGTTCCATATGTAGAAACATGAAGATCAGTAGTTCAAGTCCAGCCTTGGTTATATAGTGAGTCTAAGAGCAGCCTTGGCTACCTGAGACCTATCTCAAAAATAACATCAATAATGCTGGTGGTGATAAAACTAATTTAAACAACTATCATTTAAATCTTACATTTAACATTGTCATTGAAATTTTCTCTTTCTGCAGAGAATACAGTATTTGTCCAGTGCCCCAGCTAACGCTCATGTAAGTACTGACTCTTAGCTACAATCCCTGGAAAGTCCTAGCCTTCACCTTGGTACATTGCCTGTGTCGTGGTTGCCTCTTCCCTGAAGGGGGATCCCTGTCAGCTTGGGTGCGCTGCTCTGGGAGATGAACCAAGATTACCAGATTTGCTCCCCACCAAGGTGGGAGGAGCCAGTCTGGGTGTTTGGGCCAGAAGCTTCCTACCATGGGTTTCACCATGTGTTCTCATGTTCCCATCCTACCATGTGCTAGCGCGTGTTCTCATGTTCCCATCTTACCATGTGCTAGCGCGTGTTCTCATGTTCCTATCCTACCATGTGATAGTGTGTGTTCTCATGTTCCCATCCTACCATGTGCTAGCGCGTGTTCTCATGTTCCTATCCTACCATGTGATAGCGCGTGTTCTCATGTTCCCATCCTACCATGTGATTCACTACGTGTTCTCATGTTCCCATCCTACCATGTGCTAGCGCATGTTCTCATGTTACTATCCTACCATGTGCTAGCACATGTTCTCATGTTCCCATCCTACCATGTGATTCACTACGTGTTCTCATGTTCCCATCCTACCATGTGATAGCGCATGTTCTCATGTTCCTATCCTACCATGTGATAGCGTGTGTTCTCATGTTCCCATCCTACCATGTGATTCACTACGTGTTCTCATGTTCTCATTCTACCATGTGCTAGCGCGTGTTCTCATGTTCCCATCCTACCATGTGATTCACTACGTGTTCTCATGTTCCCATCCTACCATGTGATTCACTACGTGTTCTCATGTTCCCATCCTACCATGTGTTAGCATGTGTTCTCATGTTCCCATCCTACCATGTGATTCACTACGTGTTCTCATGTTCCCATCCTACCATGTGATTCACTACGTGTTCTCATGTTCCCATCCTACCATGTGCTAGCGTGTGTTCTCATGTTCCCATCCTACCATGTGCTAGCGCGTGTTCTCATGTTCCCATCCTACCATGTGATAGCGCGTGTTCTCATGTTCCTATCCTACCATGTGATAGCGCGTGTTCTCATGTTCCCATCCTACCATGTGATTCACTACGTGTTCTCATGTTCCCATCCTACCATGTGCTAGCGCGTGTTCTCATGTTCCTATCCTACCATGTGCTAGCGCATGTTCTCATGTTCCCATCCTACCATGTGATTCACTACGTGTTCTCATGTTCCCATCCTACCATGTGTTAGCATGTGTTCTCATGTTCCCATCTTACCATGTGTTCTCATCCTACCATGTGTTAGCATGTGTTCTCATGTTCCCATCCTACCATGTGTTCTCATCCTACCATGTGTTAGCATGTGTTCTCATGTTATTATCCTACCATGTGATTCACCATGTGTTCTCATGTTCCCATCCTACCATGTGATTCACTACGTGTTCTCTTGTTCCTATCCTACCATGTGCTAGTGCGTGTTCTCATGTTCCTATCCTACCATGTGATAGCGCGTGTTCTCATGTTCCCATCCTACCATGTGTTCTCATCCTACCATGTGTTAGCATGTGTTCTCATGTTATTATCCTACCATGTGATTCACCATGTGTTCTCATGCTACCATGTATTAGCATGTGCTCCCATGTTATCATCCTATCATGTGTTTCACCACGTGTTCCCATGTTCTCATTTACATGAGGGATGGAGATGGAAATCTAGATCTTTGGGGTCCCTGGGACAGAGCCTGGAGTGGCAGTGGGCATGGCTGGCTGTGGATGAAGGGTGAGGAGCAACTATGAGAGGAGACAGCATCTGTAGAAGGCAGTGTGTGTAAAGAACACGTCCCAGCATGCATCCCAAGTGCAGGCAGAGTTCAGGAGAAACAGGCCAGGCTTCATGCATGCTAGGTCTGGATCGTTCCACTACATACAGAAAGTTGCCTGCAGAGTAAGTTGGTCCTCATGCCTCATGAATTCCCTGGGGTCACTCTGAAGTGAGCCATCAGGGACCCATCTGGCTAGGACCAAAACCATCACCACTGAGCAATTCACAGAGTATTTTCCCTCAGTCACCTTAGATGGTTTTCAAGCATAGGTACACCATTTGTATTAATCAGGGTTCTCTAGAGTCACAGAACTTATAGAAGGAATCCATCTCTTCATATATATATATATATATATATGTGTGTGTGTGTGTGTGTGTGTGTGTGTGTGTGTATGTATATATATGTATATATACATATATAATAAATTTCAAAAATATTTAATACATTATATGAATAACTTTAATATATATAGAATTTATTGGAATAACTTAAGAGCTTCAATCCAACTAACCCAACCAGGGCTTTCTGTGAGTGGAAAGTCCAAGAATCTAGTAGTTGCTTAGTCCCATGAGGCTGGGTGTCTCAGCTGGTCCTCTGTACATGCTGGAATCTCAAAGAAGTAGGCTCCACTCCAGTGCCAAAGAAGGGATGGATGTACTAACAAGACAACAGCAAGCAGGTAAAGAAGAACCAACCCTTCTTTCTTCCATATCCTTATATAGGCTTCCAGAAGAGGGTTTGGACCAGATTAAAGGTGTATCTTCCTGCCTCAAAGTCTGGATTAAAGGTGTGTGTCATTCCACCTCAAGATCTGGATTTAAGGCATTCTGTCTTCCTGCCACAATATCTGGATCAATCAGAGATGTGCCTCCATTTCTGGATTGTTCATTCCAGATACAGTCAACTTGACAACCAATAATAGCCACCACAATCCACCTCTTGTCAATCATATCTCCTTGTGTCATGATTAATTTCCAAATAAAAACAAGAACCATGTCATAATAATGCCTAAACATAATATAACTATGCCATGTACACTCACACGCACATTATATATTAACCTGTGTTGTTAGTGTCCTCTTGTTTGTTCCCAGCTGCTCAGCTCCAAAATAACCGCACAGAAACTATTAATTACAGCACTGCTTGGCCTATTAGCTTATGCATATTTCTAGCTCACTTTTATTCTTAAATTAGCCCATTTCTATTATTTTATATTTTACCATGAGGCTTGTGGCCTACCAGCAAGGTTCCAGCGGGCAGCTCACGTCTTTCCCCTCTGGCAGCTCTATGATGCCTCTCTGACCCTGCCTTCTTTCTCACAGCACTGTTTAGTTTTCCCTGCCTACTTCTCTTCTGTCCTGCTATAAGCCCAAAGCAGTTAATGAATGAAATTAATTTTATTCATTAATGAATAAAAGCAAAACATTTCCCCTTTTCTGTTTAAATAAAAAAGAAGGTTTTAACTTTAACAGAGTAAGAGTAAAATTGCATATAGCAAAACAGTTATCAAGCAAGAATTGTAGTTACAATATTTATATCTACTTTATCTCTTATCATAACTAAGGAAAACAATAATCGTAACTATTCTTCAACCCCGTCAAAGACTCCAGAAGGATAGAATATTGGCTAAGTGCACTGTAAGCAACTTATAAAACTCTAAAATTGACAGAGATATCTTACTGCCTGGATAGTCACCCAAAGTTCTTCTGTACTGTTGGGGAATTCATCTTCAGCCTACATGACCATAGTATCCAGCAGACTTTTCCATGAAGCAGGAAATTTCAAAGACAGTTCCACCTATATTGGCAGTTTCACAGTCACTTTCTTCTGTGTCCTGCAGAATGTCTGGCAGACTCTTTCATGAAGCAGGAACCCTAAAGGACCATCTCACCATCTTTAGGCAACTTCAGCAGTCATTTCTCTGTGGGTCCTGCATGCCCAGTTCATACAGCATAACACCAAGCCGTGCAGGCAAGAGCATTTTCTTGCCCAAATGGCTAACAAACTCCATAAGGAGCCTCTTTGATGCCCATCTTCCTCTTGAAGTAGATTGGTGCTGCCAGGAGCAGATGAGTCTCATTGTCATGAAAAGTCTTAAGTTAATAATTTAAACATTTTAAATGCCATATTCTGAAGGTCTCTAAAAGATTTGAAGAATACCTATCTAGCTGAAATATATCTCTATTTGTCTAGAAAACCTAACATGACTATAAGCTTGTCTATTATAGATGATTATCTATTAATCTATATTTCTTAATTATGCATTAAATTTTCAAATGAACTGCACAAACACAATACTTTAATCAAGAACACACACACACACACACACATATATATATATATGTGTGTGTGTGTATGTATATGTATAAAACAAAATTGATCTTAAATTTGTATCAATATACATCTCTATTGCAAACCAGGTCATACTTATACCTAACATGACATAACTATCCTTCATACAACCACAAACAAATTTTAAATTTAGAATAGGTGGCAATGTCCCTTAGAGGACATCCTACTACTAGCATTCTCTTAGTTGTTATAACATATGATAAGGATATTGAAATAACAAATACCTGCACAAACACATTCTTACCAAAATACAACAGAAGCACTCATGTTGGTTATAATCCTCATTTCTGCAACTGATCATGTGGTCTTAGATGGTCTTTAGATTGGCTTTCTTCTACTACCTATTCTGTATTTCCTCTACCTGAGGAAAGCCTGTCAACAGATCTTTGCTCTTTTACCAGAAAAAATGACCCATACCTTCATTTCTGATGGGTCTGTGCCCTCTATCATCCTGCCTGGATTAGGTTGCTGTAATTTTCCATTGACTTTAATCATGGGGCATGTAGCACTAAGAGACACCCTAAAGGATCTCCTGCACTCCAGACATCTTCCTTCTTACTGCCTCTGTGGAGAAGCAATCCAATCTTCCCATGGTAATCTGGATCTATCACTTCTCCTAACAGTGTTCTTTCTTTCTTAGCCTGTTGGTTTAAGGGCGATAGAAGCCCAGAGTGGCCAGGGGGAAATTCTGAGATCCAGTTCAATGGAATGTTTGCTGTGGCTTTTGGTAGGAGCACTCCCTTCTCTGGAACCAAAACTTCAAGGCCAGCAGAACTTAGGGATGTGGGAAAAAGAAACAAAAGCTTTCCTAATGGGTCACCAAAGATGATAGTGAGCAAAATTATTTCCTTTTCCACCCCTGTGGATCCTGG